AGGCTTTATGTAGATTGACCATTTCATGTCACATAATCTGAACTCTAGGCAAAAACACAAGAACCTGCTTTCTTATGTTTTCCTCTTTGTCATCTTTTCTCAGAGGACTAGGGTATGTTTCAAGAACAAAGAAATGACCATGACATCTGATCAAGAGTTTAACATAGTTTGTCATAATCTTGACAATTGATTTGAAGTCTGCTTGCTCTCCTGTGTCTTTATCCTGCCTGTGCTTTCATTAATAAGTGTTTTAGTAACTTCCTGTGTACTTCTTTTTGCTGAGACTGCACAGTGATGTAGGGAATGTGCTTGGGTACTAGGGAAGTTAGACAAAATGAAAATGTAAAACACAGACATCTGTGTACACTTAAGATTGTTGTGCATGTCTAATGGCATAGAAAGCAAATGACCTCATTCGTTATGTAAAAGGACCATTTTTCATTCAGAATCATTCGTTCCTGGATCTTTGCATCCTTCTAGACCAGTAAGTGGCTAGCTTAGTTGACACAGTGCTTGCTTTCAAGCACAGAGACTTTCCCATTCCTTGACCAATGGAGAGTTCAATGGAGACATGTACACATTTCTGAGGCAGATATAAGACAGTGGATTTTCCAAGTCTAAGAGTACTAGACATTTAAACAAACAAAGTTAACCTACTAGTCTTTTCTGGTCCATTTCATTCAAGATCTACTAACTGAAGTCATACAATTGGAACATTTTAAAGAACAATACTGACCATACTTTAGAAATGGAATCTGAATATGCACCTAGGCCAACACAGGACAACATAGGCATTACTTTTAAAGTTTTAGCTGTCTCTGTGCAACAAATGTCTGTGTGAAGTTAAAATAAATACTTTTAGGAAAAACAGGATCTATCTAGAACAATAGCTTGAGGATTTGTTACAGGGTTTTTGTGAATCTGTGGAGTATGTGAGGGTGCACTGTCTATGGCAGTACATTGTACTGACAACTAGCCTTTCTCAGCATTTACACCAATATGTTAGGTTCACTAAGTTGGTCGGGAACAAAACAGACACGTGCATTGTTTACTTCTTTAATGATGATGCACAGGAATTGAAGAGATGTGATGATGAATAGACCCAAGGTCATGATGTTCTTAGGTGAAAGTGCCAAGGTTGAAATCAGATATGTAGCCCCCTAGTATGAGGTTCCAAACTGTTACCACATACTTATATTTAGGCTATGAGGACATTAATAACCATACAAAAGAGTCCATCTTCTATATACATTTCTTATTTGCTGAAGCAAGTAGAAATCCAGGGGACAGATGATCAGTGTTCTCTGCCTTAATGGGAGTTGGGTAGTCTGAACCTGGACATTCACCTCACAGAATGAATACAAAGGATGACCAGTAAAGAAAAACTAGCAGGAGAAAAAAAACAATCTATGGTGGATCTTTAAATGTAATAATGTCAGTATCTTGCACTTATCAGTAAAGTATGATTATGTATCAAACAGTGAAAAATTTAGTGTCATTACATCATGTTCCTGATACTGCATGAATTTTTCTTGAACAACGTGTACATTTTGAAGATTAAAATTCTATATGCTAGGACTGACAATATGATTCAAAGGATAAATGTATATTTCTTCCAGTGGTTAGGACCTGAGTGGCATTTCTCAGATCCATATGAAAGTAGAAAGAGAGAATCAACTCCACAAACTTGTCCTTTGACCCTTGGACAGATGTCACATAGTATGTATTCTTGTACATACACTTTGTATATGCATATACACAAGCAACAATGAACAAGGAATTTAAAAAATAAGATCATCGTAAATGAATGTAGAATCTGTCTATGTTGATCTGTAGTGGCTGAAAGAGGTTAGCAGAGATCTAGAAAGACTTGAAAATGCTCATAAAGAGATAGAAATCTGTCATTTAACATAACATTTATTTAAGTGTAACCTAATCCAAGATGGATTATTTCACAGTGCATTAGACTCCCTTTATTTAGGAGAACAAAAAGTCTCTACTTCATTTCTCTTGAGGTCTTGCCTTGTTTTCACTTTTCCTAGCAGGGAAATCTGTCTTGCAGCTCTTCAACCATGTTTATCAATTCTGTGCACTAAGGCTAGGCATAGGGACTAAATCCACATGTCACTGTCCCTAGCAACATAAAAGCCCTTGACATATAACAAGTGGTACCATGAGCTGAAAGTAATATCCTGTTCCCCTAGATTCGAGTGAGGAACATCCTCAGGCCTCAGAAGAAGGGTCAAAGTCATCGTTGGTTGTGGTAAGATGACCTTTCCATATTCTAACATAGAAAGGTTACTTTCATGATACTTTATTTTTATGGGCATCAGATCTCAGTAATAAACTGCTCACACACTACAGGTATTAGAGTGTTTACATGGGAAGAGGACACAAGTCACCCATGATACGACACAGCATGAGAAGAAATTATAAAGCATGTCAGTTACCATAGTGGGTGTCAGGAGCTTTTCTTCTTACATAAGATTCCCCTTCAGACTCAAACATGTAGAATAAGCCAACAGGCATATTGGATAGGAAAAGTTCCTGTTTCTTCTGTGAGTGTCTTCTTGTCTTTCTGCTGGGGTCTCCTAAGGTTAACACAGTTGGAATGTGTTTCCCCAAATATTGATGTGGCAAAAGATTCTGGTGTCCGTTAAGGGATATTGAGGTGGTGAGACCTTTAAAGCATGATGTTAGAGTAGATACTTGGGCAACAGGGACACTCCTTGGAGGGATTCATTCACAATACCAGATTCTCATAATGTTTCTCTGCCGCGTTTCAAAGAAGCTTTGAGGAAACCCTCAGTAGAGAACAAAGGGTGAGTTTGCCTGATGTGGACTCAACAGGCAAAGGTGTAAAAATCACTTATTTTTTTCACACAGTAACTAGCTGCAGGGATTTTGTAAGAGAATCACATAACAGACTAATATAGAGTCTTCAAATTGGCTGTTCTTCCCAGTCCTGTTTACAAGCTGTCCTAAGTCACAGGAAAAAAAAAAACAGAGATCTGTGCAAACATAACTCAGTGTGATTTGATCTAAGAGTGTTTTCTCTGAATTGCAGGTCCAGTCAAGGAAGCACAGATACAGTATGTATCTTGGAATGACATTTTTGGATATACTGTAGATAAGAACTCTGCATCTACTTGTTGTCTTTGTCTGGTTCACAACTTCTATTTACTTGTTTATGTACAAATCTTTCTTAATTTTTAAGAAATCATCATATTCCCCTCTCCCATTTCTGTTCAGAACGTCCCCACATACCCACCTGACAACTCCATGCCTCCTCTCTCTTTAGAAAGCAAACAGGCAGGGCGAAAAACAATGAAAGTAATTAAAACAAAGGAAAAAGCACTCACACACACACACACACACACACACACACACACACACACACACACACACACATACACACACACACTGCATATACACACAGAATCAGAAACTATAATATACAAGCAAAAGCTCAGTAAGACAGAAAATGCCCAAACAAAGCAATATAAGACACAAAAATCTAGAAGAACACCATTGAGTTTGTTTGGTGTTGCTCACCTTCTGCTGGGCATGGGGACTGCCCTGGAGTGTGGTTGATACACCATTGGGGAAAAGTACTTTTTCCTTTGTGAGAGCTTGTCAGCTGAAGATAGTTTTGTGGTTAGGGATGGGAGCCCATGTCTACTTCCAACTCTCAGCTCTAGGAGCCTGTCTGGCTTAAACCTACAGGCTCTATGAGGTCATATTGGTTTCTCATTCTTTTCAAAGCAATCTAATGGCAACAAGTTTGTAAACTTAGGTAAGATAACAACAGATATCCCAAGAGACATATCATGGTCCTGTGTATGTAGTTCTCTCATTTACTCTTGTTGCCTTGGGATTTCATATATCAATAAACATCTTTATGTGTTTTCTCCCAAAAGACATTCCAATTACACATGTCAGTTTTGTCAATGAAGAAATCTGAGGTCATGCCTTTCCTACATTACTTGGTTCAGAGCTCATCATAGCCATGTATGCTGTATTCATTTCTCAACATACCCTGTTGCTACAGGAGAACCAACTAGGATAGGGATGTGAGTGACCAAGCTAGATAGCTAGGGACTACAAGAGCAAAACATGTTCCCAGATATTTGGGATGAAAGTGACATTTTTAGAATAAGCTCAAATTTTCTCCTCATGGAGACATGAGCTGTCATTTTGCATGAATCCATTCACCTTTCCAACATATACCCAGAAATAATCCTGCTTATAGAAAACACAAACAGTACCTTTTCTGCCTCAGTGATCAAAAACCATAGATAACATCCATGGATCAGGTGACAGTTATTCACAACTGGGAAAGACAGAGAAAGCTAAGGTGTACTGGGTTTGCGTTTTTTTGCTCTGTCATTGGAATAGCAGGTTTTCATTCAGGAGTCTCTGGGTTTGATATTCAACAGTGCATAAAGTGTGATGTGGACACAACATAGGTTGGTTAATCTGATACTCTAGAAGGGGCTGCATGGTTCTCATGAACTCAATCTCATCTCCAATCACTGGCCAGCCTAGGCCATAAGAAAATGCCTGAAAGACTCACTGAGAGGAGTTGACCATGTGAAGTAGTGGCAGAGGAATGCCATACAATTAAACAAACATTGTTCCCTTACACCACTCCTTTGTGAGGAATGGTGACTTTTTGTAGTAGGGATTGAAAAATAGAACATCTGTCCTGTTCTTTTTTTTTTCTGTCATCTACTTGGGCACAATGTCATTAGTAGGTAACTAACACAGTGCCTTCTGGTCAAAAGGAGGAGATGTTGATTGTCTTCTTCTCTAGTGCCTTTCTGTGAAGGTAATACTAGATATGTCTGTGAACTTTAAAAAGCTGTGTTGTGTAAATGATGAAGCAAGCATATGCTCTTTCCAGAAGTCATCCAAACAGCCTCTCTGGTTGTAAGCATCACCATCCAGGTGGTGGTTCTGGAGAGACCAAGCGCCATAGAGCACCTTTGTGGCACTAGTGCCTGTTACCAGTGTAGCTGAAGGTTTCCTGTGTTCCACCTGCAGGGCCCATGGTCAGTACAACCCTCTCTCAACTGCCAGTCCTATAGCCACTTGGACCCAAGTAAACACAGAGAGCCTTATATTAATTAAAACTCCTTGGCTTTAGCTCAGGCCTACCACTGACTAGCTCTAACATTTAAACTAATCAATAATTCTTATTTATGTTTAGCCACGTGGCTTGGTACCTTTTCTCAGTTCTGTCTTCACATCTTGCTTCCTCTGTGTCTGGCTGGCGACTCCTGACTCAGCCTTCCTCTTCCCAGAATTCTCCTCTCTGCTCACACCGCCTATACTATACTTCCGGCCTGGCTACTGGCCAATCAACACTTTATTTATTAACCAATCAGAGCAACACATTCACAGTATACAGAGCACTATCCACAGCAGACCAGAGCTCTTCCTTCATTTACCTTTTTAGATTCATTAGGTGTGATGTGAGTTCTTAGGAAATTATAGTGCCAAGTGTCAAGAATGCAGAACTGAGCAATTGCATTTTCAATGTGTTCACATGCCTCTTACAGGGATTTGGATGCTGGTCACTTCACACAGTCACACTGCCCTTCTGTTGATACTGTCTCATCCATGTGAATTGAGACCGCACCTATACTGACCATGTCATATCTCCAATAAGTCAACACTGATTTCCAGGATTTTCCAAAAGTGATATTCTGAATCAAATGAGTGTACTCGCAAATCAGTAATGAGATGGAATGTTAAACATAGAACAGTTGTTAGTTCCTTATTTGTTTTTGTTTTTTTAAATGAATTCAGCAGAATTAAACATTCTTGTTTTGATTGCATTCAAGTTGTAGCCATATTGAGGAAGCTAGGCATTCGGAGCTCCGTTACCTCTACAATCAATGACATGTCTGAAACAATGCTGCAAAAGACCTGTGGCACTAATGACGGTACTGTGGAAATTCAATAATTAATTATAGTTATTATCAGTAGTTGTAGATTATATAGTATCCCTACTATAAAGAGAATGAAGAATCCTTGTAGTAGTTTTAAAGTGGAAATTAATTTCTCTAGTCCACCAGTAGAACTACCACCACAGAGCATAAAACCACATTTAAATGCCTATTTTGGTTCTGGTGAAATGATATGAACCAAAGGAAAGCAGAGCTGGTTCTTGTGTGAGGCAGTGTGGCTTCACCTATGGCAGACACTGTGTGTGATTCACTCTCTCTGCTGGTTTTCTTTCAGTCATGGGTGGCGATGATGGGAACAGTACTGAGAATGACTTGTCTAGTCAGACCCACCTGAAAAACACAAGACTCTTACCTGTAGGTCATGGACTCTGGGTCAGATGCAGTGTGAGGCCTTCTAAACAGACAGGAACCATGATGAGACTCTCATGGAATCATTCATTGTTTTTTTCCCCCCTTGATATGACCTAAGCAGAATCACTGAAGGAAGGAAGTGTTCATGTGACTTATTGAAGGGGATCATTCTGTAATGTTTGAGAGTACCTGGCAGCTGGCAGGGAAGGTTGGGTGGCTTCATTTGCAGGAGACGACTTTGGTATGTTGCATCCATACCAAGGAAACAGAATAAGCAGAAGTGGAACTGGACTCCAACATCTAAAGGTTGGCCCTAAAGGACTCACTAACTCAGGATAGGCCCCACACCCCAAAGCTCCCAAACACTCCACATGCAGCACCACCTGCATACTATTCAATCCAGAATACACATAGCCATGTACATTGACCGTGTCCTGCCACTTAATATGGGTCTACTTAGAAAACTGAGAGGCTACAAGAACCCACTCTATTTTATTGCCTCTTTGTCATTTTTTTTCACAAAGGAAGACGGTAAATTCCAAGTACAAAGAAATGACTGTGTTGTGTGGTCAAGAAATTAATGTAGTTTTTCATCTGTGTTAGCAAACCAAAGCCCATGTTCCTGCCGCCTTCTCTTTCCAATGCTTTTATTTATAATTATTTCCTTTATGTGATCACTTATGGAAAACATGCATGTGAAAATAGGGACTGATTGTTGACAAGGTCAATCAGATGAACACATGTCATACAAGAAAAATCTTTGAAATCTTAAAAATTATTGTTTAGGGGCATGTGAATATATAGAATGGAAGAATTTATTTGTTATATAAAGATCAGCCTGTCTCTGAGCAGTAAGTTTTCCCATGTCCCTTTCTATATCTTTTTGAGGGCCAAGGAGGTAACTCATTTGATAAAGTGTTTGCTTTGCAAGCCTGAGGCTTCCATCAATTGGCCCACATCTAAAGGGAATCACCTTCATATGTATGAGGCCTTAATGATATAAGATGATGGCCTTTCTTTATCTTACAACACTTGAAAACTTAATATATCATGTTAATCCATCCTCTGTTCTGGAGTTCATTCGAGCAGGATCTATGGATTCTTAGGCAACTGGAACACTCTAGGGAACAATGCTGGACTTATTCAAGAACAGGCACTATGGCCAGTAGTAGAGTTATTTGTAAACCTTTCTCTAAGTCTTCCAAACCTGAGTCTGTGTGAAAGTAAAATTAATATCTTCAGGATCATCATACTCAGACAGACAGTCAGACAGAATGAATATACATCACACAGATAGTTTGTGGAGACTGCCAATGCAAAAACTTACTTTTATAGAATGGGTAGAATTTCACCAAAAAAAAAAAAAAGGCATTGTCGATATCCCTGTTAATATTCATCTTGATAGGGTGGATTTTTCAGGTGATGAGGTGCTTGCCTTGCTAACATAACAGTTTTGCCATGCGTTGGTACATCAACACACTGGGCTCGAGTCCTGACTAAGGGTGTTAGGGAATGAAGAAAGGACAGACACACAGACACATGTACAGAAAAATGGGGTCAGAGTGTAGGGTTGAGGTGTAAGCTCTGATGCAGGGCATCTACTAACTCTAGCAACCTGAAATTTTGGTGTGTTTGTTAGGTACATCACAAGGGGAATGACTGACTCACTGGCAGGAAGTCTCCATAGGCAAGCAGTCTCAGGCCTAACCTTCCAGAGGAGGAAGATGCAGCTGCTAGTTTTTGTACACACTGATCAGGCACCAGGAAACACTTGCACTTGGACAAGAAGAAGGCTTTGCCAACTTCCAGCCTGGCCTACCTGGGAGAAAGGCTTTGCCAATTTCCCCTGGGCTGTGCCCTTGTCAGTAGTACACACGTACTCAGGACTTCACTCACTCAGGGTTTCTTCTGCTCCTACAAAGAGAGCAGAGGCTCAAGGGGAACCCTCATCTTTGTGGGGCATTACTTGTAACACTCATCTTAAAAGGTCTTGTAATAAAACATCCAGAGTCAGATATTGGAATGAAAGCTGAAAGTTCAGAGAAGCAGAACAGCCAGGTAGGTACTAGCGTACCTCTATGAAATTCTCAGCCTCAAGAGAGCAAGTTCCTGTTTCCTCACACCTTATATACCTTATATACCTTTCTGTGTCCTGCCATATCACTTCCTGGGATTAAAGGCGTGTGTCATCACTGCCTGATTCTGTTTCTCTCGTGTGTAGTCCAGTGTAGCCTTGAACTCACAGAGATCCAGACAGATCTCTGCCCCCTGAGTGATAGGATTAAAGGTGTGTGCCACCACAGCCTAATAGCTATGTCTAATTTAGTGGCTGCCTCTGTCTGCTGATCCCCAGGTAAAGTTTATTAGGAAGTGGACACTGACTTTGTGCTAAGGCAGACATAGGACCCTAAATATTTCAGGGGATCTAGACTGTGTCTCCACAAAATACTTGCCCTCACTGATGGTGGATCTCCATGTTGGCTAGTAAGGGAGAACATGGGGAAACACGTGTACTCAGTGGATCCACACAGCCAGCATTGACAAGTCATCATTTCTAAGATCCTTTTTTTCCTCGAGGCATGTCTATGTGATTAGGCATTAGGTAAAGGAGGGCTTTGGTTAAGGGAATGTGAGACTATCTTGCTCATGGGTACAATATGAACAGAAAATTTTGTAGAGCAGAAACCAGACTCTGAGAAAGGAGCAAGCAAGGTAAAGTACATACTTTGAGCTAGAAAAGCCATTGCCCTTGTCTTAGGCATGTTTAGTCCAGGCAATACAGACAGCACTGAGGGCAGTTGTTACAGAGAAAGTGGTATGTACAGATGCAGTCCATTAACTCGGCAAAGCACCCAGATTCCTGGCCTGTCAGTCAAGATTGAGGGCTTATGCAGGGTTTGTTGACTGAAGGGAAGTATCTTTTCTCTCAGTCATCACGTGACAAGTGTTTCAGAGTGACTTGGAGTCAGACTCCTGGTGAGAGCCTTCTCCTAGTGTGGTTGTCTGATCATTAGAAATTTGCACTGAGAGAGGCCTAAAAATTACTAGTCATGTGAACTAACCTGGTTCCTCATATTGCTTCTACTGAAAGAAATGGTCTTTTTTTTTTTTTTTTTTTTTTTGAGTCAGGGTTGGAAAAGTAGAATAGCAATCCTTGTTTCAGTTTCTTTGTTCTGTCAGATAATTTGGTCTGTAATCTTAAGGTGACTATTACAGTGCCCTCAGACAATAACAGGAGGTAGAGATGGTCCCTTACCAGTGCCTCCCCTTGTTGGTGATCTTATATATTTTACATGGACTGTAAAACATCATGAGGAATGAAAAGTGGTGAAGCAAATAAAAAGGAAATTTAATATTTCAAAAAAAAGAAAGAAAAAAAAAGAAAGAAAGAAAGAAGAAAGAAAGAAGAAAGGAAGGAAGCAACCATTTCCCCCTGATCTGGCAGTGTACATACACTATCTCTGTATCTGACCGTGGCCTCTTGCTGATTTTTCTGGCCTTTGGCAAACCCCACTAAAAATCCCTTTTTGGTGCTAGTGATTTTCTTTGGGGCTTGACATTCATTTAATTTTGTAGATTCATTAGGCTTAATGGGAGTCCTTAGGAAGTCATACTGTCATAGTTTCAAGAACAGAGAAGTGAGGAATTGCACAAATTTCACTGTGTTTACATAGCTCTTAAGATAATTTGGATGCTGGCCATCCTGCACACTCAGTCAAATGCTCTTCTGTCAATACTGTCTCATCCACCTGGATTGAGATCTTACATACACTGACCATGTTGGATATGCTTTAAATGTTCCCTGATGTCCTTGATCTTCCAGAAGTGACATTCTGAATCAAAACAATGTGCTTGTAAATCAGTAATGAGATCAAATGTTTATCGTAGAACAAAGACCAATTTTCCTTTTATTTTATGATTCAGCTAACCTATTTTGTTGTGATGCGTTCTAGTTTCTGCTATACAGGAAAAAATGGGTTTCAGAAGTGCCAAGGTTCCTGAACAGAGTGACATACCTCAAAAAACGACCTTGCAAAAAGTCGAAAAGTCCTGTAGCACTTATGACGGTACTGTGGAAATTCAATAGTGTGTGTTTTAGATTTAAGCAATTTGAATGTATTTGACCTGCCATGTATGTTGGTACACCACATGTTGCCTAGTACCAGTTGAGGCCAGAGAGGGCATTGGATCACCAAGAATTGGAGTTACACATGGTTGTGAACCACTGTGTTGGTACTGGGAATCAAACCCTAGTCCTCTGGAAGAGCAGTGCTCTTAACCACCGAGCCATCTCTCAAATCCCTAGTTTGTTATTAACAGTAGCTGCAAGTAAGATGGTATCTCCTCTGTAAAAAGAACGAAGATGTTTTGCAGTATTTTTAATACGTGAAGTGTTACTTTATCTCATGAGTAGAATGTCTATTGTGGTTCTCAGTGAATGATGTGAACCAAAGAAAAGCTGAGTTTGTTCTTGTATAAGGTAGCAAGGCTTCACCTACTACAGTCACCGAGGTATGAGTCATTCACTCTCTCCACTTTCTTCCTTCCAGACATCGATGATGAGGAGGAGGACACCAATGAAGATGACTTTGGTAAGGAGAACAACCTTCAAAGTGATACTCTTGGTAGTAGTAGGTAATGGTATTCCTGGTCACATCCACCTCTCCACTGACTTCCATGTATCGATGATAGTGATGAGGATGACACTGAGGATGACTTGGGTAAGGAGAACAGCCTTCAAAGCAATGATGTTGGTGGTGGTAGGTCATTCCTGGTCAGATCCATCTCTCTACTGACTTTCATCCAGATTTCAATGGAATGGATGAGGACAACATTGATAATGACTTGGGTAGAAAGACCAACCTGCAAAATGCTGAACTTGTTAGTGGTAGGTAAAGGCATTTCTGGTCAGATCCAATGTACAATCTAGCAGTGATCAAGTTATTCCTTCTGCTTGGAAGGCAGGGGAAGAAAGTCCACTCAAGGGTCCTTCAGTGGACAGAAGTGTCAGCCAGGGTCTATTCCTGAATTGTTGTGTTTCAACTTCTTTTCTCATTGCTATGATGAAATAAGTGACACGAAACAGTTTGATGGAGGAAGGGTTTATTGTGGCTTATTGTTAAAGTGGATCACTGCATCATGTTGGTGGAGACATGGAAGCTGGCAGGGAACGGAGGGCTGTAGGCACAGGGGACAATAGTTACATCTTGTAGAATATTATTTTAGGGTGTGTTACTTTTGTTTATTCTCTGGAACATTTGTTTAATGATGCAAAGCTGTTTTGCATTCTTTTATGTTGCATTTGTTTAACTCTGTGAGGTTGTGTTACTTTGTCTGTCTAAAACACCGGATGGTCTAATAAAGAGCTGAACAGCTAGGCAGGAGAGAGAGAAATGGGCGGGGCTGGCAGGCAGAGAGCATAAATAGAAGGAGAAAAAGAAGAAAGAGCAAGAGAACAAGGAGAGAAGGATGCGAGGGGCCAGCTACTCAGCTGTACACCTAGCAACAGAGTAAGAAAGAAAGAAAGACATACAGAAATAGAAAAGCATAAAAGCCCAGAGGCAAAAGATAGACTGTGGTTGATATATTGTGCACCCCAATAAACTTATATGGGGGTCAGAAAACAGAATAGCTACTATATTAAACATAGGTTTAGGCAGTGGTAGCACACGCCATTAATCCTAGCATTCTGGAGACACAATGGAAACAGCCAGGCATGGTGACACATGCCTTTAATCCTAGGAAGTGATGGGAGGAAGCAGAAAGGTATATAAGGTATGAGGACCAGAAACTAGAGCCTTTTTAAGCTTTTAGCTTTTAGCAACAGTTCAGCTGAGATTCATTCGGGTGAGGACTCAGAGGCTTCAAGTCTGAGGAAACAAGCTCAGCTGAGGAATTGGCAAAGTGAGGTTGGATGTGGCTTGTTCTGCTTCTCTGATCTTTTCAGCATTCACCTCAATATCTGGCTCCTGGGTTTGTTTTTATTAATAAGACCTTTTAAGATTCGTGCTACAATAGACCGGTTAATTTAAGAAAAGCTGGTCATAAACAAGCCAAGCTAAGGTTAGCCATTTATAATTAAGAATACACCCTTGTGTGTGATTTATTTGGGAACTGGGCGGTGGACCCCTCAAAAGAGCAAAAACAAACAACATTAACATTGCATTCACATCCACAATCAGAAGGCAGAGAGTTAACTGAGGTGGGAATGGGGTCTTCCCAGAACCTCACTTCATCCAAGGATGCTCCACCTCTAAAGGATCCAAACCCTTCCCAAACAGCACCACCAGCTCCATACTACATGTTTAAACACACAAAGCTATGGGGAACATTTTACATTCAAACCAGAACACATAGCCATCAGTTTATGTTCTTGTATGAATTATCCACATCATGTCATGAATGTGAATTGTGAAAAAGAAGACTCACTTCCTCATTTATTCCTTCTATTTCATCTTCGTCAAAAGCATCTAAGTACAGAGACATTGTTGTGTTTCTGTTTATCTTTATTTAGTTCCTTAGACTGAATCCCATTTTCTCCTGTGTCCTTGACCTGACAGTTTTCAGTATTATGTATTTTAGTTATTTTCCACATGCCACTTCTTACTGAAACAGAAGGAACATATATCATGTATGGTATAGGGAAATGCAGAGGGGAGGAATGTATATCACTTATGGTATAGGGAATGCAGATGGAAGGAACATATATCATTTATGGTATAGGGAATGCAGATGGAAGGAACATATATCACTTATGGTATAGAGGATGCAGACAGAAGGAACATATATCACTTATGGTATAGAGGATGTAGACGGAAGAAACATATATCACTTATGGTATAGAGGATGCAGATGGAAGGAACATACATCACATATGGTATAGAGGATGCAGACGGAAGAAACATACATCACGTATGGTATAGAGGATGCAGAAGGAAGGAACATGTATCACATGGTATAGAGGATGGAGGTAGAAGGAACATGCATCACTTATGGTATAGAGGATGGATATGGAAGGAATATGTATCACGTATGGTATAGAGGATAGAGATGGAAGGAATATGTATCACATATGGTATAGAGGATGCAGAAGGAAGGAACATGTATCACCTATGGGATAGAGGATGGAGACGGAAGGAACATGTATCACATGGTATAGAGGATGGAGATGGAAGGAATATACATCACGTATGGTATAGAGGATGCAGAAGGAGCATGTATCACATATGGTATACAGGATGGAGATGGAAGGAACATGTATCACATATGGTATAGAAGATGCAGACGGAAGGAACATGTATCACTTATGGTATAGAAGATGCAGACAGAAGGAACATGTATCACATGGTATAGAGGATGCAGAAGGAAGGAACATGTATCACTTATGGTATAGAGGATGCAGAAGGAAGGAACATGTATCACCTATGGTATAGAGGATGGAGATGGAAGGAACATGTATCACCTATGGTATAGAGGATGCAGAAGGAAGGAACATGTATCACCTATGGTATAGAGGATGGAGATGGAAGGAACATGTATCACATATGGTATGGCAGATGCAGAGGGGAGGAACATATATCACCTATGGTATAAGGAATGCAGACGAAAGGAACATATATCACATTAACAAACTCCTGAGATTTAGTTATTGTGCATGTCTAATGACCTAGAAACTGAGCGTAAAAACTCCGTTTGGTAAAACTGTCAGACTTTATATCCTTTACGCTCCTTTTGAGGGCTGTGTTGGTAACTCAGGAGATGCAGTGCTTGCCTTGATAAACTGGCCTTTCCTATGAGTTGGCCAGTGACTAAACATAGTAGCCCTCATATTTGTGAGGCATTAATAATGTATGATGGTCAATTTTCTGTAGCCATAGTAGACCTTCAGTAGAATTTCAATCTGCTCAGCGTTTCTGAGTTCTCATTCAAACAGGATATAATAGCCATAGTCAGGAATCTACAACATTCTGGAGAATAATGGTGGCCTATGTTAGAAGTAGATTCTGAGGATGCACTCGAGCCAAATTAGGAACTACTTTAAAACCTTTCTATAATTCTGTCCAACCCAAGTCCATGTGAAATTAAAAATGAACACTTTCATAAAAAGCATGGTTATGTTCCAGAAGAACAATTGCTTGAGAATGTGTTATCTGTGGGTTTATGTGTCTATGAACCAACTAAGTTGTGAGGTCTGTGGCAGCACATTCTGCCAATAAGTAACCTTCCTCAGCATTTACACCACATGCCTTGTGTTCATTGAGCCACGCAGGAACAGCACTACAATATGTCTTTAGTTATTCACATCCCCTGGGTGGAATCAAGGAAATACAATGATGAATGTACCCAAACCTGTGATGCTCTTAGGTGAGAGGGCTGAGAGGGGAATCCCACACAGAGTTCAAAATTCTGTGGCTCTAAATCTCACTATCTGGGCTCAGAATTAGGATCTGAGATCATTAACCGTCATACAAGAGGTTCTGTAGTCTGTGTAAATTTCTGGATTTCCAAATCCAATATGAATGCATCTGATAAGGTAGAGATTGAGATATCATAGGCCAGAGTAGTCATTGCTGCAGGAATCCTGATCTTATCACTGTGGTGATATCCAAAGTACATAGAAAGAACCAATGGTGATACAGTGTCAAGGTTCACGATTTGGGTGAACCACACCCTGTGAGTACCAGATCACCCCTCACCCTATCCTAGTGCATTTAAGAATGGGAAGATCCTTTAATGATAGGTCAAGGCAGTGTAAGTGTCATCTAGATGTTGTGAGGCTGTGTGAGCTACAAACCCTGGGACAGAAATAGATAACTACTCAGAGTAGCACTCAGTATTTACATAATGCCTCACTCTCATGAAAATTCTCATTTGGAACTTTGTTTCCAAGCCATGGTGTTGAGCAGGGTCCAAATCAACATTCTTGCTCACCTTAATGTCAGTTTGCTGGTCTGAACCTGGACAGATCCTTTATGCAGTGAATACAAATGATTTCACTGTAGAGGAAAACCAGAAGGAGGAATAAATGATACGTAGCAGTTGGTTTTTAAGTGTAATAATGTAAGTATTACCCACTCTCCAATAAGCTATCACTGTATCATAAAGAGTGAATACTTCAGTATGATTACATCATATACTTGGTGGTATGTTCCTTTTTCTAAAACAATGTATGCTCTATCAACATTTAAATTGTCTGGTGAGATGGCTTCCTTGGTAAATGTACTTGCCTTTTATAACCTGTGACATGAGTTAGGTTCCTGGAACCTCCATAAAGGTGAAAGGAGAGAACCATCTACTCCAAGTTGTCTTCTGAACCCCACACATGTGCCATGGCATGTACTCTAACACATACTTCATGTACCTACACGGGTATAATGATAATTGTATTAATAATATAAAAGCAATTAAAAAATAAAGGCATATTTGGTTAACAAATGCAATATATATATAATTTGATCTGTAGTGGAGGAAAGCAGTTTGACTGATGTTTAAAATAGTGTCAATTTTCCTGGTTTGAAAATGGCCTGAAGAAGTGATAGAAATCTCTATTAATTATAATACTTATTTCAGTATTTTCCTGATCTAAGGGAGATTGTTTCTATAATTACTTTGAGTTATGTAGAGTAGTCATATATTATTTTGCACTTCATAAGTATATGATGTTTTTACAATATTTTTTACTATGTTAAGTGTACGTTATGTACATTTTAATTATATTGAATGATATGAATCAAAGGAAAGCTGAGGTGGTCCTTTAGTGAAGCAGTGTGGCTTCCCCTGCTAGAGGCAATAATGTATGTATAAGTTATTTTCTGTACTTGCTTTATTCCATACACTACAGACTCAAAGAATGACGAGGTAAGCTTGAGAAATACAGAATACAGGAGTGGTAAATAATTCATCCCTGATCAGATTCAATGAGAAAGGACCCAGGAGTGGGGAGTTTGCACCTCCGTTAGGGGCGTCAAAGGGCTGGGAGAGTCAGGTCAGTGGGCTTCGAGGTGTGCGGAAGCAGTGCTCCGCCTGCATCATTGGAGCAGAGCGCTGCGTTTCCGTGCTCGTATAGAGTGACCGTTCCATATTACATACTGTGTTGTCTAAGTATCAACCCAGGATTCAATTTCTTTTTCATAATTTGTTCCTTGTCATCCTTCAACACAGGAAGATAGTGTGTTCCAGGAAGAAAGTAACGCCTGTGTTATCTGCCCAAGATTTTATAGTAGTTTGTTATTATCTAAATAGTCAAACCCAGTCAAGTTTGCTTTCCTGTCTCCTGGTCCTCTCTGTTCTTGCATTTATTAGAATTTTAGTTATTTATTACATGTTGTCTTTGGTGGAGAGTCTCATACATAGAGAATATATTTTGACATTGGAGAAAAACATTGAACATGCGTCACTGAATCAAAAACCTGTGAAGCCCTAAAAACCATTTTGTATGTCTGATGGCATAGACATGGGATGCAAAAGCATTAGTCTTTTTATAAATCAGGTATCACCAAACCTCTGGATGTCCTTTTTCATATCCAGAAGATTGGCAGCTAGTAACGTGCTTGTGAGGACTGGAGTTCAGCCCTAAATTTTCATGTAAATCTAGTGGGCAGCAGTTTATATTACCAGTCATCAGGAAGTGCAGAAGCTCCATGTGTTTGACCTCTGTGAATGAGAACAGATCTCAAGGGTTGTAACTTTAGGGAGAATGACCAAAACCCCTGACTCCTCATCATAGGGCAACAAAAGAATATGTAGACAAAATGCTGTGAGAAAAACTTGAGTGTGTGTGTGTGTGTCTGTGTGTGTGTGTAAATTCCTATTATAGCGTATGTTGTTAAGCTTTTCCTTACTAGATGCTCTGTGGTATAAATACAATAACTTTTGTAAAGTATATTTTGATAAGATTTAAGTTATATGTATTTAAATTATTAATCTCAAAGAATTATGGAGATGTTTTGAGGCATTTCATATAACAATGTGTGTGTATCTGTATTTTATTTTTTGTTGTTTTTTTGGTTTTTCGAGACAGAGTTTCTCTATGTAGCTTTGCGTCTTTCCTGGAACTCACTCTGTAGCCCAGGCTGGCCTCGATCCACCTTCCTCTGCCTCCCGAGTGCTGGGATTAAAGGCGTGAGCCACCACTGCCACGCTGTATCTTTATTTTTACATTCCCTTTTTTCCCCTGAAAGGTTCATTTTATTCAGGAAAATGTGGATATGTGTTTTCCATGTATGTGATGGTTCATAGGAGCATGCACTTTCTATATTTCATTAATCTGAAAACATTTACTTTGTGAGCTGTCTGATTTAGGAATATCAATTAGAGGTAATTTTTGAGCCTACTTCCCCACAGAGCTAAGCATTGTCAAATGTGGTAATTTCTTTTTCAGGATGGAGTCAGTTTTAATACACAAAAGTAGAGGATTAGGGTCAATTGTAAAGACTGATGAATACGAGCATAGAAACTTAATATTGTTTTACAATCAGCAATTAGTATATAATGTATACATATAATATGATGATTAGAATTATTCACAGAGAGAATTGTGGTTACCTATAGATTTGAAAAGATGTTAATGGCTGAAACTGTTTCAGTGTGTTGTGTGGCTTAGTTCTCCTGACCCTTCATTTTGAGCTCTTTCAAAAGTTGAACTCTAGACTTTCCTATGACTTTCTCAATAGCTAAATGGAGATACTCTCAAATTTGTGACACATTAGTAATGTAAGATGGTGGGTTTTCCAGGTCTTAAAATATTACATGTTTTAATACATAATGTTAGTGCACCCAGCATTCTGGGACTGCCTTATTGAGAAAGGTATTGCAACTGGGACCTTCTGAAGAACAATGCTGACCTAACTTTGGGAGTGGACAGTGAGTGTGTACTTAGGCCAGCATAGGCATAAGTTTTAAACTGTTAACTCGTTTTGTCTACCCGAGTCTGCATGAAAGAAAAATGGTTGCTTTCAAGCTAAGTAGGAGTATGTCATAGAAGAATAATGGCTTTGGAATTTAGAACCCAAGACTTTCATGAGTCTGTGGTTGAGGCTAAGCTGGAGGAACTGGGCAGTTTATTTTGCCAATAACTTAACATGCCTGAGGATTTAAACCACATGCCTTGTGTTCATTAAATCACTTACCAACAGCACAGATGTATGCCCTTATGGGTAGAATCAGAGAGAGAGAGAGAGAGAGAGAGAGAGAGAGAGAGAGAGAGAGATGGAAGTATTCAAGCTCCTCTACTCTTAGGGCCAATATAGAAACAGATGTGTGGCCCTCATGTGATACCCTAAATGTTGACTTGTGCTCATCATTCAGCTGTGGAGTTATTAGCTACCATAGAAGAGAGCCATCATCTGAGGATGGATTTCTGCTGGCCTACATAAATTATACACATTATCCACTTCATACTCATGCTTACAAACCCCAGGGCAGATATCGCTACACAAATATCAGATTTCTTTCTAGTTATTATGTGCAAAACACAAGGAACTGATGGTTTTGATTAGTTCACTGATACTGAGTCCTTAATCAGTCTCCAACCCTGCGATAAAGTCAGTTACAATTGGGCATATCTTTTAGTGATATCTGTGAAGTTAAGTGCTGAGACCATATGAGCTGCACTCCTGAGACAGGGATGTGTAAGAACTCAGAATAGCATTCCAGTATTAATGTTCTATAGCATTCTAGTGACAACTCTGATATGGAGTGGTCAACAGAGGCCAGATACTCATTCTAACCCACTACACTGTGGGTCCACTGATCCGAATATGGGCAGCCACACAACACCACAAAAACAAATGGATAGCATATTAAAGGAAGATCAGAAGAATTGCATTATATATAGTTACTACTTAGAAACTGTATTAACATCAGTATCTTCTACTGTTCAGTAATTTTATTGTGTATCAAAGGATGAGTGGATGAATATAATTACATCTTGTGCCTGCTACCAAATCTATTTCCCCAGTACAGTATGTAGACTATTGAGTTTGAATTCCCATTTGCTTAATGACAAATGCAAATTCTGTGTATTTCGTTTGTGGGCATTGACATGGATTTGAGAAATTCCTAGAAAGGAAAGTCAATCTTCTGGGCTTCAGAATGGTCTGAAGACATGGTAGAGCTCCTATATAATGTTAAGATTCATTTTAGTGGTCACACAGTCAAACATGGATTATTGCACATTGTCTTAGATTCCCAATACTTAGAGAGGCCAAAATTATTGTCCCTCATTTCTCTTCTTGTATTCTCCTACTTTCCCTTTCCTCTTGAAAAGATTGGTCCAGCAGTAGCCCAATCATGCTCATTCATGAACTACATCCATTCAGTCCAGCCATATGGACTAAAGCCATAGATCTTTGTCCATATAAAGCAAAGCTTTCTGGGCAATTACAAATTGTACCTTGAGCTGTTATTTTGTGTTTTTTTCCAGAGGACAGACAGTTGACAGCCCCACAAGAAGAGTCGGCAAGGTCATCAAAGGTAAGATGGACATCACATTTTCTAAGATAGAAAGGCTACTTTCCTGATTCCTTTGTTTTTAATAGATACTATATTTGAATAATATAAAAGATCATGTACACTACACATTAAGTTGTTTACTTAAGAAGTGAATGAAATAAAATTGTACCAAGTCATCCCTGACTCAAAATGTCACTGTCAGGTGTGTTTTAGGAGGCTTGTTTTTCTTGAACAAGTGATCCTTTTTATATTTAAAGTTGTGTAATTTACACTCAAAAGGTAATAGATGGGGTTGTTAAGAGCACTTGCTGCTCTTCCGAAGGACACAGGTTCAATTCCAAGCACTCACACGGTGGTTCACAGCCACCTGTAACTCCATTCCCAGAGGATCTGACAACCCACACCCTTTTCTGGCCTCTCCGGATGCCTGCACACATGTGGTGCACATACATATACTTGAGCACACATACAACAAATACATGTTTTCAAAGGTAGCTGAGTTGTTGTTTATGAAGAATGTGTATTTTCTGTAAGTGTCGTCTCCACTTCCTCTTGCAGGGTTCTATGTTAGATAGTGTAAGTTGGTTTTTGAAACTATTGTGGCAGAAGTTTCCTGTGTCAACTATAGGAACATTGAAGTCGCCAGACCTGTAAAGCATGAATTCAATGTAGCTAATTGGGGCATGGAGGCACTTCTCAAAGGGGACTTTTTTTTTTTTTTTAAAGAATTATTTATTTACTTCTGTATACAGTGTTCTGTTTGCATGTATCCCTGCAGGCCAGAAGAGGGAGCCAGATCTCATTACAGATGGTTGTGAGCCAGTATGGGTGCTGGGAACTGAACTCAGGACCTCTGGAAGAACAGCCAGTGTTCTTAACCTCTGAGCCATCTCTCCAGCCCCTCAAAGGGGACTCTTAAGAGCAGGTTTTAAAAAGATTTCTCTGCCATGTGACAGTGTATTCTAAAAACCCTTAATAGAGTGATAGGGAGACCTGATTTGGGTTGAATCAGCAAAAGTGTGAAAGATATTTTTTCACAAAGTATCCAAGGTCAATTGTTTTCTGACAGCATCATATGACAGACTAATAATCTTTGTCTTGACTATTCTTCCCCATCCTAATTACAATTACCCTAAGTACTAGGAGAGGAAAGAAACCTGTGGAAATAGAACTCACCTTGTTCTGTACCTGAGTGTTTCTTTTCTTTAAATTGTAGGTGGAGCCAAAGAGGAAGCCATATGGTATGTATTGTGGGGCCACTTTCTTTTTTTTTTTTAAAGATTTATTCATTTATTATTTATTATGTATACAGCATGTATGACTGCAGGCCAGAAGAGGGCACCAGATCTCATTACAGATGGTTGTGAGCCACCATGTGGTCGCTGGGAATTGAACTCAGGACCTCTGGAAGAGCAGTCAGTGCTCTTAACCTCTGAGCCATCTCTCCAGCCCGCCACTTTCTTAAGACACATTTTACATAAGAAATTTACAATACTGCCTGTCTTTTCTCAGGTGTACTCTACAATTTCTACCACCTGCTCACAGTAACACTTGAGACTTTTAGATAAAGAAAAAGAAACACACACACATACACACACACACACACACACACACACACACACACACACACACACACACAGTGATATCCCAAATAACAAATTGTAAGAATGTTTATTATGCATGCATTTAGTTGTGATCATTTTAGTTTGAGATTTTATGCACCAGGATGTGTCTATATCTGTATTTCTCCTAGGTAGAAATCCCAGTTATTTAAACCCAATAACAATTTCTCCAATGAGAAAAAAATTAAAGTGCACATTTTCCCTATATTAGTTTAGAACTCTTCATAGCCATGCATGCTGGCATTATTTCTTTGGTACTCTGTTATAGAAGAATCAACCAAGACACAGAGTTAAGTGGTTGAGATGTGTGACTACATAGGCCAAGACCATCATTGTGTACATAAACGTAGGGTCCAGTATCAGTGCTATGAGATGAAACTTCCACTTACTACCCTGTCAAGATGCCATTAGTCACTGTAGAAGGCTTCCAGCCCCTAGCTGGACTTCAAACACATCAAATCTCTAGAGATAGAAAATAACAGCAACAATCAAAACCTATTTCAGCATCCATGCGCCTGGGTACAGACTTCCACAAGTGTGAAAGCCAGAGAAAGCCCACATGTTCTGGGAAAATAGCTCCCTTGGTAAAATGTCTACGTATGACATAGGAGGCCCTCAGTTTGATCTTTAGTACCACATGAACCTGAGTGGTAGCACACAAATCTATAAGGAGTTGGTGTTTATTCTCCGTCTGACAGTTTCTGGTCATCCTGGGCTGTATAATGAGGCTATGTCTGACGACGACAACAACAACAACAACATGGGAATGAAAAATGACAAGTGGGAAAAGAGCTGACCTTCCACCAGTGAGAGCATTGATTCTAACAGTGAAAGTCACAGAAAAAACAACCACCAAATTGTATATGTGTCACGACTGAAATTCTAGAAACAACAGGTTCCAGTAAGAACTGGTGGAATGCTTTAGCTCCTTCTCAGGAGCTCAAAGCACCACACAATTTAGGGTGTATGTCTACTAAAAAAAAAAAAAAAAAAAAAAAAAAAAGGAAGGAAGGAAGGAAGGAAGGAAGGAAGAGAAGCCTCTCATCAATATAGTCTCATTCTTTTAACTGACCATATTTAAAGATGAGTTAGACTTTGCTCCAAAAGTATTTGCTCTTACTGATGGTCAGTCTCCATGTTGACTGGTGAGAACATAGGGAGCCTATCCATTCAGTGTATGTAAACAGTCAGGACTGAATAGTGTGACTGTGATATGTCTGTATGTTCAGGCATTTGCTAAGGAGGGCTTTAGTTCAGAGCAAGCAGGACTGTGTGTCCTGCCCCTGGTAGCCAGTGAATGGAAACAAAATTTGTTTAGTAAAAATTGGACTTCATTGAGGAAAAAGTGAGTAGGGATTGCACATACTCAGTGATAATGCAGCCCCCGCCCTTCTCAGAGGCAGGCCTGGTCTGGCTGTAGAGACTGTTGCCAAGGGTAACTGTCAGTGAGAAAGTGGAATGCACACACTCAGTCCATTAAGTCACAATGATCTAGGCATCTTGTCCTGTCACATTATGTTGAAGGTTTATTCAGGGCTAATCAGTTGAAAGATAGTGTTGTTTTCCTCCCCACCATCAAGTGACAACTGTGGTAGCATGATCTGGCCTCTGAGTCATTGTGGTAGACAGATAGAAGGGGTCCCATGTCCATGGACTTAGCTATTAGAAACTACAGGGAGGCATCGTGAAGGAGGTGGCAGAGACAGGTGCACATTTACACCTCTGAGCTCTCTGAATGACTTCTTTTGCAAACTCATATTTTGTGTCAGGGATTCAAAAGTAGAACATTCATCTCTATTTTTTTCTGTCAGGCAATTTGGTCACAATGACATAAAATTAAATACTCCAGTAGCCTGAGGTGAAACGTAGACAGCTCCATGACCTGTAAAACACCGTGCTGTGTAAAGAATGAAGAGTAAACATAACTGTCCATTGCCCCAAGGCCAGGCTAACACCCTCTCTGCAAGTAGCCACTCAATAGAGCTGGGGTCTTCTTTGTGTTTTACATTTAACAAATGTCATGACATTTCTGGAGTCCAGTGCTTTTAACTATGCCTTTATCGTTACTTATTTTCACACTCATGAGGTTTATGAAGGATTCTTAATTTTTGGTGTCCCAGTGCAAAGAGTAGAGAAGCAAGGAACTGTACAAATTTCACACTGCTTTTCTGTTGCTACTGTGCCATAGCCATGAGAGAACTTACCTCTCTTGACCATGTAATGCCTATATTAAGTGTACACTAATCTCTATGATGTAAAGAAAGCTCCTCTGCCCGCCCCCCCCCCCACCAGTCCCCGGACTTACCCTGAGGAGATTTCTCCTAGAGTCCTGGGGAAGATGCTTACAGAGGCTAGGATTCCGGTCTGAGGGATGTCAAATGAATCTATACAGATCTCTTTCAGTCCATTCATTTTAGTCTTCTAAGTCAATTCTAACTACATAGCTTCTTTTCTGCTCTCATACTTAGCTCCTCTCTTTCCTGGTTCTCTGTACCTTTTTTCTGCTGTTCTCTCTTTGTTCTTAGTTTTCTCTCTCATCCCTCTCTCTTGCCTGACTTCTCACATGTCTAACCGGAGACGCCTTACAATTCTGAAAATAATTTCACAGCCCTCAAGGTCATAGCACACTCCTAGAATAGACAATAAGGAACAGAGCCATTACCATAGTAATGCAAGGTTCCAAGGTCTCAGGACCAGAGGGAAAGGGCACAGTACCCAGTGCCACAAACTCTGAGACATAGCTTTTTATCAGCAGACTGCTGATGGTACTTTGAAAATTCAATAATTACTTTGTCATCAACAATAGTTGTAGATTATGCTGCCTTTTATTTATGAAAAGAATGAAGATTTCTTGCACTATTCTTTTGATATGTGAAATATTAACCTCCCTAGTTCATCAGTAGAACTACAAACACAGAATATAAAAACACACTTAAACTTCTACTGTGGTTCTCAGAGAATAATGTGAACAAACAAAAAACTGAGTTTGATTCTGTTTAGGCAGTATGGCTTCACCTACTACAGTCACCTAGGTATGAGTTACTCAATCTCTCCACTTTTTTCCTTCCAGATATGGATGAGGGCAAAGATGCCAATGTCTTGTGTAAAGAGAGCAGCCTTCAAAGCGATGATCTTGGTAGTGGTAGGTCATTTCTGGTCACATCCAATTCTTCACTGGTTTCTTCCAGATTCAAACACTATAGGTGGTGACACACTGAGGATGACTTGGGTAGCAAGAACAGCCTTCAGAGCAATGGACTTGGTGGTAGGTCATTCCGGGTCTGATCCATCTCTCCACTGACTTTCTTCCAGATACTGATGATCCTGACGAAACCGACTCTGAGAACGAGATGAACAGCAAAGAGAGCAGTTTTCTTGGTAGCAGTAGTGGTAGGTACTGGCATTCCTGGTCAGATCCAATGGGAGGGTCTAAGAGCAGGTGGGTTATTCCTTCTCCTTGGATATCTATGAGAGAATGTTAATTTGAAGGGTCTTCCAAGTGGGCAAGAAGCAATGATGAAACTATTATTTAATCATTATATTTAGTTATTTTTCTCATGTTATGACCAAACACCTGACAAGCATTTTAATTGAGAAAGGGTTTATTGTGGCTTATAGTTAAAAAGATGATTCCATTATTGTGGGGAAGCCGTGGCAGCTGGCATGGAAGGTGTCTTAGCCAGTGCAGGCAGCCAGTTGTTCACACTGCATCCACGTTCAGGAGGCAGCGAGGTAACAGAAGTGGGACTGGGCTCCAAGGCCGAAAAGATTTCCCACAGACTCACTTCCTCCAGGGAAGATTCACCTCCTGATGAAAATCCATTTTCAAGCAGCATCACCCACTGGGAACCAAATATTCAAACACATGAAGTTACGGGGACATTAAACACTCAAATCAAAACACACAGTGTGGTGTAAGGTCATGTATGGACTGACCATCACATAATCTGGACTCTAGGTAGAAAGGCAGGGACTCAGCTTCTTATTTCACTCTGTAAAACCATTCTTCAAGGAAGATAAGATACTCCAGGGATGAAGAGTTGACCATTTCATCTGGTCCAGTGTCTAATGTAGGTTGTCCTCATCTGGGTATTGTAAAGACGTTCCTTCCCTGCATTGTTGTCCTGCTCATGCTCTCATTCTTTTCTGTGTTCTGCCCTCTGTCATACTGTTCTGGTTTGTTTTCTGTTGCTCTGATAAACACTTAACTATGGGTAACTTGGGGAAGGTAGGTCATTACGGGTCTGATCCATCTCTCCACTGACTTTCTTCCAGATACTGATGATCCTGACGAAACTGACTCTGAGAAAGAGATGAGCAGCAAGAAGAGAAGTTTTCTTGGTTGTAGTACTGGTAGGTACTGGCATTCCTGGTCAGATCCAATGGGAGGGTCTAGGATTAGACATGTTATTCCTTCTCCTTGGATGACAGAGAAAATCAATTTAAGGGTCTTCCTAATAGGCAAAAGCAATGATAAGAGTCTATTAGTGAATCTTCCTTGGTTGATCTTCTCAATGTTATGACTCAATATTTTATTTTTGTACTCCTTGGACAAAGAAATGACCATGTCATCTGGTCCAGAGTTTAATGTAGGTTGTTGTCATCATCTAGTGGTTAAAACGAAGATGCTTCCTTCCTGTGTCATTGTCCAGCTGGTGCAGTCATTAATAAGTATTTTAATTATATTCTCCTCCTACATTGTGTCAAATGCACATATGATAATTTGCTTTCCATTGGTATGACAAACATATTGACCAAAAGCAAGCTGGGGAGGAAAGGGCTTGTTGTATCTATCAGATTATAGTCTGCCATCAAGGGAAGCAAAAATGGTAACTCAAAGTAGCAACGTGGAGTCAGGAAGCTAAGCAGAGACCATGAAGGAATGTTGCTTACTGATTTGCTCTCTCTAGTTTGCTCAGTTATTTTTCTTAGACAGTGCACCCCCACCTGCCTAAGGAGTAACACCACCCACAGTGGTCTGGGCCCTCCTATATCAATTAGAAGTCAAGAATATTCCCACAGTCATTCTTACAAGCCAATCTAATGGAAGCAACTCCCCAATTTCGATTCCCTCCTAGGTGTATGAAGTTTACAAAGAAGATTAAATAGCACAAGTCACCTCTTGTCAACTTGACACATAAGCAGGCCATTGTTAGATTATAACATTTTCTGGTTTTCTCCAAGATCTCATGTTTATATAATATAAAATAGTGTACAACGTTAAAGAGTTTGTAGTTTAGAAACTGGACATGGTTGAGGAAGCATGAGTGGGCAGGTGCACACTTAGAGCTAGTGAAGGCTCTGCCCTTCTCTGCTCTGGTCTTTTTCAGGCTCCACAGATAGTGCCAAGGGCAGTTGTCACCTAGAGAGTGATGTGCGCAGACACATCCATTAAATCACCAAGCCACCAAACTTCTTGTCCTGTTCACTGAGTTTGAAGGCTTATCCAGAGTATGTCAGTTGTAGGGAAGTGTTCCCCTACCCCCACCACAACTGTAATGTAACATCAGTGTTAGAATGACTTGGAGTCTGAGTCATTATGTGGTGTCTGGTCAGCATGGTTATCTTATCATTAGAAAGACAGTGTAGAAAAGATGGAGACATTTGAACTAACCAAACTCTCTCATATCACTCCTTTTGGAGAAAATGGTCAATATTCATACCAGGGACTGAAAAGTAGAACTTCCTTCCCTGTTGTGAGGTTTTTCTGTCAGGGCAATTATGTCACAGTGGCATGAAGATAACCCGTTACCTACTTCCCTACTTCGATGTGATACACAATCTTCATGCTCTGTAAAACACCACGGTTAGGCAAAGAATGAAAAGAAATTGCCATTGTCCACTGTTCCGGAGCTGTCTCTGGATCCACCCATTGCTATCTTGCTGATTGTTCTAGCATTCAGTAAACCCCACAGACCACTTCTCTAGACCTAGTACTAGTCTATAAGTCTTCATGTTTGCTTACTGTTTTAGATTCATCAGGTTTAATGTAAGTGCTTAGGCAGTTGGAGGGTCAGAGTGCCAAGAGTTGGTGTCATAAGCAGCTGCATAAATTTCATAGGTTTCCATGGATCTTAAAATGATTTGGATGCTGGCTATCTCACACACTGAGTCACATTGCTTCTCTGCTAATACTGTGCCATTCACATGAATTGAGACCTTAGTGACCATACCATTCTTGTGTTAAGTGGACACTTATGTTTGTGATCCTCCATTCTGAGTAACATTCTGAGTCATGCTTGAAAATCACTAATGAGATCAAATGTTTATACACAGAACAGTTGTTTGTTTTCCCGGGGGCGAGGGTTGTTTGTTTATTTGTTAAATGCAATTGAGCTGACCTCTTTTTGTTGTGAATGCGTTGCAGTGAGGTCCATGATGCGAAAGCTGGGCCTTGGGCACAGCAAGTCCTTCAGTGTCAGACCTGAAACAGCAAATGGGCATGTGAAGGAAAAGGCATGCGGCACCAGTGACGGTACTGTGGATATTCAGTAGTTAGTCTGAGTTATTAATAGTCATCGGTGATGATAATTGTACTAGTTACTTTTCTGTTGCTACGATAATATACTATGACCAAAAGAAACTTAGAGAAGAAAGAGTTTATGTTGACTTATGTTTCCAGAGGGATAAATATCAATCATGGTGAGTGAAAGTCATGGCAACAAGTGGCAGGCATACTGTCAGGAGCAGTAGGCTGAGAGGTCGCATTTTCAACCGCAAACATGAAACAGCAAACTGGAAGTTGGGTGAGGCTAGAGATTCTCAAAGCCTGCCCACAGTGATGCATTTTCTCCAGCAATGCTCCACTTCCTAAACATGCTACAACTTTCCCAAACAGTATCAACTACCAGAGACCAAGGTTTAAATTGCAGGAGCTTAAGAGAAACATTTCTCAGTATACCACCACATTCCACTTCCTTGCCTCTGTAGGCTAATGACCATATTATAATGCAAAATGCCTTTAGCTCAACTTGAAAAATCCCCAGAGGGTGCCCAGCCCCAAATGATATGTCTGCAACACACCTAAAGCTCAGGGACCATTAAGGAAGAAGGCACAGAAAAGTTGTAAGAGCCAGAAGTCCAGGAAATCTGCTGTGAGATCGTCTCCTAGAAATGGCAGGGAAGCTTCACCCATGATACCTCAACAGTATGGCTGCCTAAACAACACTGGAAGTACACCACCAACAGACATGCTAACGTGGAAGTGGGGGATCTCATGGAGCCCCACTCATAGAAAAAGAAATATGGACAACTAAGGAATACTGAGAGCAGGAGATTTAGTCTTCTTCAGAGGCGAAGCCCCAGTTGCTTATTCAATAACAAGTGGTCAACCCTGAAATCATATACATACAAGTAACAACAGATGGACTGAACAAGTTGTATTTATATCTGTAGGCTGAGAAGTCACATGTTTAACTACAAATAGGAAGGAGAGAGAATGAACTGGAATTAGGGTGAAGCTATGAGGCTTCAAACCCTACCTCCAGTAATACAATTCACTCAGCAAGGCTAGCTCCTAAAGGATCCACAGTCTTCCCAATTGGTGCCACAAACTGGGTACCAGATATCCAAATACCTGAACCTAAACAGGACATTTCTGATTCAAACCACAGTCTATATCTCTTATTAAAAAGGTGGAAAATGCCTTGTGTATTTTTAATGTGTGAAGTATTCAACAGTAGAGCTGCAACGATAGAACTTCAAAATGCATTTCAATGACTGTTGTGCTTCTCCCTGAATGATCTGAACCAAAGGGAAGCAAAGCGAGTTCTCGTGTGAGGCAGTGTGGCTTCACCCACTATAGACAGTAGTATGTAAATCACTCTCCACAGACATAGTTCCAAACATTGACATCATGGATGATGGCAACACTGAAAATGAGTTGTCTCCTGAGACCAACGTGTATCGCAAAGACCATGGTAGGTCCTGGCATTCTTGGCCAGATCCAATGAAAGGGTGTATCAACAGTCAGGTTGTTCCTTCTGCTTGGGAGGCAAAAGAGGAAAGTCAATTTAAGGACTTCCAGATGGGCAGAAACAATGATGAGACTCTATTAATGATTAGTGGCTTTTCTTATTTCTGTGACCAAATAACTGAGAAAAGCATTTTAATGGAGGAAAGGCTTATTTGGCCTATTATGACAAGGTGGTCATTATGGCAGGGAAAATGTCTCAGCAGGTGTATGGCGCTGGCCGGTCACATTGCATCTGTACATGAATACATGCACATGTACTCAGGAAGCAGAGACTAAACAGAAGTTAGACAGAGCTCTTTCCCCAGTGGCTTGCTTTCTCCAGGGATGCTCCATCTCCTGAAGCCTTTCTTAGGCAGTACCATAAGCTGGGGAGAGAGTGCTCAAACTCATGAGGCTATGCGGGACAGTCCCTAATCAAACCAGAACACACAGTATATGACTGAAGGCTTTATGTAGATTGACCATTTCATGTCACATAATCTGAACTCTAGGCAAAAACACAAGAACCTGCTTTCTTATGTTTTCCTCTTTGTCATCTTTTCTCAGAGGACTAGGGTATGTTTCAAGAACAAAGAAATGACCATGACATCTGATCAAGAGTTTAACATAGTTTGTCATAATCTTGACAATTGATTTGAAGTCTGCTTGCTCTCCTGTGTCTTTATCCTGCCTGTGCTTTCATTAATAAGTGTTTTAGTAACTTCCTGTGTACTTCTTTTTGCTGAGACTGCACAGTGATGTAGGGAATGTGCTTGGGTACTAGGGAAGTTAGACAAAATGAAAATGTAAAACACAGACATCTGTGTACACTTAAGATTGTTGTGCATGTCTAATGGCATAGAAAGCAAATGACCTCATTCGTTATGTAAAAGGACCATTTTTCATTCAGAATCATTCGTTCCTGGATCTTTGCATCCTTCTAGACCAGTAAGTGGCTAGCTTAGTTGACACAGTGCTTGCTTTCAAGCACAGAGACTTTCCCATTCCTTGACCAATGGAGAGTTCAATGGAGACATGTACACATTTCTGAGGCAGATATAAGACAGTGGATTTTCCAAGTCTAAGAGTACTAGACATTTAAACAAACAAAGTTAACCTACTAGTCTTTTCTGGTCCATTTCATTCAAGATCTACTAACTGAAGTCATACAATTGGAACATTTTAAAGAACAATACTGACCATACTTTAGAAATGGAATCTGAATATGCACCTAGGCCAACACAGGACAACATAGGCATTACTTTTAAAGTTTTAGCTGTCTCTGTGCAACAAATGTCTGTGTGAAGTTAAAATAAATACTTTTAGGAAAAACAGGATCTATCTAGAACAATAGCTTGAGGATTTGTTACAGGGTTTTTGTGAATCTGTGGAGTATGTGAGGGTGCACTGTCTATGGCAGTACATTGTACTGACAACTAGCCTTTCTCAGCATTTACACCAATATGTTAGGTTCACTAAGTTGGTCGGGAACAAAACAGACACGTGCATTGTTTACTTCTTTAATGATGATGCACAGGAATTGAAGAGATGTGATGATGAATAGACCCAAGGTCATGATGTTCTTAGGTGAAAGTGCCAAGGTTGAAATCAGATATGTAGCCCCCTAGTATGAGGTTCCAAACTGTTACCACATACTTATATTTAGGCTATGAGGACATTAATAACCATACAAAAGAGTCCATCTTCTATATACATTTCTTATTTGCTGAAGCAAGTAGAAATCCAGGGGACAGATGATCAGTGTTCTCTGCCTTAATGGGAGTTGGGTAGTCTGAACCTGGACATTCACCTCACAGAATGAATACAAAGGATGACCAGTAAAGAAAAACTAGCAGGAGAAAAAAAACAATCTATGGTGGATCTTTAAATGTAATAATGTCAGTATCTTGCACTTATCAGTAAAGTATGATTATGTATCAAACAGTGAAAAATTTAGTGTCATTACATCATGTTCCTGATACTGCATGAATTTTTCTTGAACAACGTGTACATTTTGAAGATTAAAATTCTATATGCTAGGACTGACAATATGATTCAAAGGATAAATGTATATTTCTTCCAGTGGTTAGGACCTGAGTGGCATTTCTCAGATCCATATGAAAGTAGAAAGAGAGAATCAACTCCACAAACTTGTCCTTTGACCCTTGGACAGATGTCACATAGTATGTATTCTTGTACATACACTTTGTATATGCATATACACAAGCAACAATGAACAAGGAATTTAAAAAATAAGATCATCGTAAATGAATGTAGAATCTGTCTATGTTGATCTGTAGTGGCTGAAAGAGGTTAGCAGAGATCTAGAAAGACTTGAAAATGCTCATAAAGAGATAGAAATCTGTCATTTAACATAACATTTATTTAAGTGTAACCTAATCCAAGATGGATTATTTCACAGTGCATTAGACTCCCTTTATTTAGGAGAACAAAAAGTCTCTACTTCATTTCTCTTGAGGTCTTGCCTTGTTTTCACTTTTCCTAGCAGGGAAATCTGTCTTGCAGCTCTTCAACCATGTTTATCAATTCTGTGCACTAAGGCTAGGCATAGGGACTAAATCCACATGTCACTGTCCCTAGCAACATAAAAGCCCTTGACATATAACAAGTGGTACCATGAGCTGAAAGTAATATCCTGTTCCCCTAGATTCGAGTGAGGAACATCCTCAGGCCTCAGAAGAAGGGTCAAAGTCATCGTTGGTTGTGGTAAGATGACCTTTCCATATTCTAACATAGAAAGGTTACTTTCATGATACTTTATTTTTATGGGCATCAGATCTCAGTAATAAACTGCTCACACACTACAGGTATTAGAGTGTTTACATGGGAAGAGGACACAAGTCACCCATGATACGACACAGCATGAGAAGAAATTATAAAGCATGTCAGTTACCATAGTGGGTGTCAGGAGCTTTTCTTCTTACATAAGATTCCCCTTCAGACTCAAACATGTAGAATAAGCCAACAGGCATATTGGATAGGAAAAGTTCCTGTTTCTTCTGTGAGTGTCTTCTTGTCTTTCTGCTGGGGTCTCCTAAGGTTAACACAGTTGGAATGTGTTTCCCCAAATATTGATGTGGCAAAAGATTCTGGTGTCCGTTAAGGGATATTGAGGTGGTGAGACCTTTAAAGCATGATGTTAGAGTAGATACTTGGGCAACAGGGACACTCCTTGGAGGGATTCATTCACAATACCAGATTCTCATAATGTTTCTCTGCCGCGTTTCAAAGAAGCTTTGAGGAAACCCTCAGTAGAGAACAAAGGGTGAGTTTGCCTGATGTGGACTCAACAGGCAAAGGTGTAAAAATCACTTATTTTTTTCACACAGTAACTAGCTGCAGGGATTTTGTAAGAGAATCACATAACAGACTAATATAGAGTCTTCAAATTGGCTGTTCTTCCCAGTCCTGTTTACAAGCTGTCCTAAGTCACAGGAAAAAAAAAAACAGAGATCTGTGCAAACATAACTCAGTGTGATTTGATCTAAGAGTGTTTTCTCTGAATTGCAGGTCCAGTCAAGGAAGCACAGATACAGTATGTATCTTGGAATGACATTTTTGGATATACTGTAGATAAGAACTCTGCATCTACTTGTTGTCTTTGTCTGGTTCACAACTTCTATTTACTTGTTTATGTACAAATCTTTCTTAATTTTTAAGAAATCATCATATTCCCCTCTCCCATTTCTGTTCAGAACGTCCCCACATACCCACCTGACAACTCCATGCCTCCTCTCTCTTTAGAAAGCAAACAGGCAGGGCGAAAAACAATGAAAGTAATTAAAACAAAGGAAAAAGCACTCACACACACACACACACACACACACACACACACACACACACACACACACACACATACACACACACACTGCATATACACACAGAATCAGAAACTATAATATACAAGCAAAAGCTCAGTAAGACAGAAAATGCCCAAACAAAGCAATATAAGACACAAAAATCTAGAAGAACACCATTGAGTTTGTTTGGTGTTGCTCACCTTCTGCTGGGCATGGGGACTGCCCTGGAGTGTGGTTGATACACCATTGGGGAAAAGTACTTTTTCCTTTGTGAGAGCTTGTCAGCTGAAGATAGTTTTGTGGTTAGGGATGGGAGCCCATGTCTACTTCCAACTCTCAGCTCTAGGAGCCTGTCTGGCTTAAACCTACAGGCTCTATGAGGTCATATTGGTTTCTCATTCTTTTCAAAGCAATCTAATGGCAACAAGTTTGTAAACTTAGGTAAGATAACAACAGATATCCCAAGAGACATATCATGGTCCTGTGTATGTAGTTCTCTCATTTACTCTTGTTGCCTTGGGATTTCATATATCAATAAACATCTTTATGTGTTTTCTCCCAAAAGACATTCCAATTACACATGTCAGTTTTGTCAATGAAGAAATCTGAGGTCATGCCTTTCCTACATTACTTGGTTCAGAGCTCATCATAGCCATGTATGCTGTATTCATTTCTCAACATACCCTGTTGCTACAGGAGAACCAACTAGGATAGGGATGTGAGTGACCAAGCTAGATAGCTAGGGACTACAAGAGCAAAACATGTTCCCAGATATTTGGGATGAAAGTGACATTTTTAGAATAAGCTCAAATTTTCTCCTCATGGAGACATGAGCTGTCATTTTGCATGAATCCATTCACCTTTCCAACATATACCCAGAAATAATCCTGCTTATAGAAAACACAAACAGTACCTTTTCTGCCTCAGTGATCAAAAACCATAGATAACATCCATGGATCAGGTGACAGTTATTCACAACTGGGAAAGACAGAGAAAGCTAAGGTGTACTGGGTTTGCGTTTTTTTGCTCTGTCATTGGAATAGCAGGTTTTCATTCAGGAGTCTCTGGGTTTGATATTCAACAGTGCATAAAGTGTGATGTGGACACAACATAGGTTGGTTAATCTGATACTCTAGAAGGGGCTGCATGGTTCTCATGAACTCAATCTCATCTCCAATCACTGGCCAGCCTAGGCCATAAGAAAATGCCTGAAAGACTCACTGAGAGGAGTTGACCATGTGAAGTAGTGGCAGAGGAATGCCATACAATTAAACAAACATTGTTCCCTTACACCACTCCTTTGTGAGGAATGGTGACTTTTTGTAGTAGGGATTGAAAAATAGAACATCTGTCCTGTTCTTTTTTTTTTCTGTCATCTACTTGGGCACAATGTCATTAGTAGGTAACTAACACAGTGCCTTCTGGTCAAAAGGAGGAGATGTTGATTGTCTTCTTCTCTAGTGCCTTTCTGTGAAGGTAATACTAGATATGTCTGTGAACTTTAAAAAGCTGTGTTGTGTAAATGATGAAGCAAGCATATGCTCTTTCCAGAAGTCATCCAAACAGCCTCTCTGGTTGTAAGCATCACCATCCAGGTGGTGGTTCTGGAGAGACCAAGCGCCATAGAGCACCTTTGTGGCACTAGTGCCTGTTACCAGTGTAGCTGAAGGTTTCCTGTGTTCCACCTGCAGGGCCCATGGTCAGTACAACCCTCTCTCAACTGCCAGTCCTATAGCCACTTGGACCCAAGTAAACACAGAGAGCCTTATATTAATTAAAACTCCTTGGCTTTAGCTCAGGCCTACCACTGACTAGCTCTAACATTTAAACTAATCAATAATTCTTATTTATGTTTAGCCACGTGGCTTGGTACCTTTTCTCAGTTCTGTCTTCACATCTTGCTTCCTCTGTGTCTGGCTGGCGACTCCTGACTCAGTCTTCCTCTTCCCAGAATTCTCCTCTCTGCTCACACCGCCTATACTATACTTCCGGCCTGGCTACTGGCCAATCAACACTTTATTTATTAACCAATCAGAGCAACACATTCACAGTATACAGAGCACTATCCACAGCAGACCAGAGCTCTTCCTTCATTTACCTTTTTAGATTCATTAGGTGTGATGTGAGTTCTTAGGAAATTATAGTGCCAAGTGTCAAGAATGCAGAAGTGAGCAATTGCATTTTCAATGTGTTCACATGCCTCTTAGAGGGATTTGGATGCTGGTCACTTCACACAGTCACACTGCCCTTCTGTTGATACTGTCTCATCCATGTGAATTGAGACCGCACCTATACTGACCATGTCATATCTCCAATAAGTCAACACTGATTTCCAGGATTTTCCAAAAGTGATATTCTGAATCAAATGAGTGTACTCGCAAATCAGTAATGAGATGGAATGTTAAACATAGAACAGTTGTTAGTTCCTTATTTGTTTTTGTTTTTTTAAATGAATTCAGCAGAATTAAACATTCTTGTTTTGATTGCATTCAAGTTGTAGCCATATTGAGGAAGCTAGGCATTCGGAGCTCCGTTACCTCTACAATCAATGACATGTCTGAAACAATGCTGCAAAAGACCTGTGGCACTAATGACGGTACTGTGGAAATTCAATAATTAATTATAGTTATTATCAGTAGTTGTAGATTATATAGTATCCCTACTATAAAGAGAATGAAGAATCCTTGTAGTAGTTTTAAAGTGGAAATTAATTTCTCTAGTCCACCAGTAGAACTACCACCACAGAGCATAAAACCACATTTAAATGCCTATTTTGGTTCTGGTGAAATGATATGAACCAAAGGAAAGCAGAGCTGGTTCTTGTGTGAGGCAGTGTGGCTTCACCTATGGCAGACACTGTGTGTGATTCACTCTCTCTGCTGGTTTTCTTTCAGTCATGGGTGGCGATGATGGGAACAGTACTGAGAATGACTTGTCTAGTCAGACCCACCTGAAAAACACAAGACTCTTACCTGTAGGTCATGGACTCTGGGTCAGATGCAGTGTGAGGCCTTCTAAACAGACAGGAACCATGATGAGACTCTCATGGAATCATTCATTGTTTTTTTCCCCCCTTGATATGACCTAAGCAGAATCACTGAAGGAAGGAAGTGTTCATGTGACTTATTGAAGGGGATCATTCTGTAATGTTTGAGAGTACCTGGCAGCTGGCAGGGAAGGTTGGGTGGCTTCATTTGCAGGAGACGACTTTGGTATGTTGCATCCATACCAAGGAAACAGAATAAGCAGAAGTGGAACTGGACTCCAACATCTAAAGGTTGGCCCTAAAGGACTCACTAACTCAGGATAGGCCCCACACCCCAAAGCTCCCAAACACTCCACATGCAGCACCACCTGCATACTATTCAATCCAGAATACACATAGCCATGTACATTGACCGTGTCCTGCCACTTAATATGGGTCTACTTAGAAAACTGAGAGGCTACAAGAACCCACTCTATTTTATTGCCTCTTTGTCATTTTTTTTCACAAAGGAAGACGGTAAATTCCAAGTACAAAGAAATGACTGTGTTGTGTGGTCAAGAAATTAATGTAGTTTTTCATCTGTGTTAGCAAACCAAAGCCCATGTTCCTGCCGCCTTCTCTTTCCAATGCTTTTATTTATAATTATTTCCTTTATGTGATCACTTATGGAAAACATGCATGTGAAAATAGGGACTGATTGTTGACAAGGTCAATCAGATGAACACATGTCATACAAGAAAAATCTTTGAAATCTTAAAAATTATTGTGAATATATAGAATGGAAGAATTTATTTGTTATATAAAGATCAGCCTGTCTCTGAGCAGTAAGTTTTCCCATGTCCCTTTCTATATCTTTTTGAGGGCCAAGGAGGTAACTCATTTGATAAAGTGTTTGCTTTGCAAGCCTGAGGCTTCCATCAATTGGCCCACATCTAAAGGGAATCACCTTCATATGTATGAGGCCTTAATGATATAAGATGATGGCCTTTCTTTATCTTACAACACTTGAAAACTTAATATATCATGTTAATCCATCCTCTGTTCTGGAGTTCATTCGAGCAGGATCTATGGATTCTTAGGCAACTGGAACACTCTAGGGAACAATGCTGGACTTATTCAAGAACAGGCACTATGGCCAGTAGTAGACTTATTTGTAAACCTTTCTCTAAGTCTTCCAAACCTGAGTCTGTGTGAAAGTAAAATTAATATCTTCAGGATCATCATACTCAGACAGACAGTCAGACAGAATGAATATACATCACACAGATAGTTTGTGGAGACTGCCAATGCAAAAACTTACTTTTATAGAATGGGTAGAATTTCACCAAAAAAAAAGGCATTGTCGATATCCCTGTTAATATTCATCTTGATAGGGTGGATTTTTCAGGTGATGAGGTGCTTGCCTTGCTAACATAACAGTTTTGCCATGCGTTGGTACATCAACACACTGGGCTCGAGTCCTGACTAAGGGTGTTAGGGAATGAAGAAAGGACAGACACACAGACACATGTACAGAAAAATGGGGTCAGAGTGTAGGGTTGAGGTGTAAGCTCTGATGCAGGGCATCTACTAACTCTAGCAACCTGAAATTTTGGTGTGTTTGTTAGGTACATCACAAGGGGAATGACTGACTCACTGGCAGGAAGTCTCCATAGGCAAGCAGTCTCAGGCCTAACCTTCCAGAGGAGGAAGATGCAGCTGCTAGTTTTTGTACACACTGATCAGGCACCAGGAAACACTTGCACTTGGACAAGAAGAAGGCTTTGCCAACTTCCAGCCTGGCCTACCTGGGAGAAAGGCTTTGCCAATTTCCCCTGGGCTGTGCCCTTGTCAGTAATACACACGTACTCAGGACTTCACTCACTCAGGGTTTCTTCTGCTCCTACAAAGAGAGCAGAGGCTCAAGGGGAACCCTCATCTTTGTGGGGCATTACTTGTAACACTCATCTTAAAAGGTCTTGTAATAAAACATCCAGAGTCAGATATTGGAATGAAAGCTGAAAGTTCAGAGAAGCAGAACAGCCAGGTAGGTACTAGCGTACCTCTATGAAATTCTCAGCCTCAAGAGAGCAAGTTCCTGTTTCCTCACACCTTATATACCTTATATACCTTTCTGTGTCCTGCCATATCACTTCCTGGGATTAAAGGCGTGTGTCATCACTGCCTGATTCTGTTTCTCTCGTGTGTAGTCCAGTGTAGCCTTGAACTCACAGAGATCCAGACAGATCTCTGCCCCCTGAGTGATAGGATTAAAGGTGTGTGCCACCACAGCCTAATAGCTATGTCTAATTTAGTGGCTGCCTCTGTCTGCTGATCCCCAGGTAAAGTTTATTAGGAAGTGGACACTGACTTTGTGCTAAGGCAGACATAGGACCCTAAATATTTCAGGGGATCTAGACTGTGTCTCCACAAAATACTTGCCCTCACTGATGGTGGATCTCCATGTTGGCTAGTAAGGGAGAACATGGGGAAACACGTGTACTCAGTGGATCCACACAGCCAGCATTGACAAGTCATCATTTCTAAGATCCTTTTTTTCCTCGAGGCATGTCTATGTGATTAGGCATTAGGTAAAGGAGGGCTTTGGTTAAGGGAATGTGAGACTATCTTGCTCATGGGTACAATATGAACAGAAAATTTTGTAGAGCAGAAACCAGACTCTGAGAAAGGAGCAAGCAAGGTAAAGTACATACTTTGAGCTAGAAAAGCCATTGCCCTTGTCTTAGGCATGTTTAGTCCAGGCAATACAGACAGCACTGAGGGCAGTTGTTACAGAGAAAGTGGTATGTACAGATGCAGTCCATTAACTCGGCAAAGCACCCAGATTCCTGGCCTGTCAGTCAAGATTGAGGGCTTATGCAGGGTTTGTTGACTGAAGGGAAGTATCTTTTCTCTCAGTCATCACGTGACAAGTGTTTCAGAGTGACTTGGAGTCAGACTCCTGGTGAGAGCCTTCTCCTAGTGTGGTTGTCTGATCATTAGAAATTTGCACTGAGAGAGGCCTAAAAATTACTAGTCATGTGAACTAACCTGGTTCCTCATATTGCTTCTACTGAAAGAAATGGTCTTTTTTTTTTTTTTTTTTTTTTGAGTCAGGGTTGGAAAAGTAGAATAGCAATCCTTGTTTCAGTTTCTTTGTTCTGTCAGATAATTTGGTCTGTAATCTTAAGGTGACTATTACAGTGCCCTCAGACAATAACAGGAGGTAGAGATAGTCCCTTACCAGTGCCTCCCCTTGTTGGTGATCTTATATATTTTACATGGACTGTAAAACATCATGAGGAATGAAAAGTGGTGAAACAAATAAAAAGGAAATTTAATATTTCAAAAAAAAAAGAAAGAAAGAAAGAAGAAAGAAAGAAGAAAGGAAGGAAGCAACCATTTCCCCCTGATCTGGCAGTATACATACACTATCTCTGTATCTGACCGTGGCCTCTTGCTGATTTTTCTGGCCTTTGGCAAACCCCACTAAAAATCCCTTTTTGGTGCTAGTGATTTTCTTTGGGGCTTGACATTCATTTAATTTTGTAGATTCATTAGGCTTAATGGGAGTCCTTAGGAAGTCATACTGTCATAGTTTCAAGAACAGAGAAGTGAGGAATTGCACAAATTTCACTGTGTTTACATAGCTCTTAAGATAATTTGGATGCTGGCCATCCTGCACACTCAGTCAAATGCTCTTCTGTCAATACTGTCTCATCCACCTGGATTGAGATACACTGACCATGTTGGATATGCTTTAAATGTTCCCTGATGTCCTTGATCTTCCAGAAGTGACATTCTGAATCAAAACAATGTGCTTGTAAATCAGTAATGAGATCAAATGTTTATCGTAGAACAAAGACCAATTTTCCTTTTATTTTATGATTCAGCTAACCTATTTTGTTGTGATGCGTTCTAGTTTCTGCTATACAGGAAAAAATGGGTTTCAGAAGTGCCAAGGTTCCTGAACAGAGTGACATACCTCAAAAAACGACCTTGCAAAAAGTCGAAAAGTCCTGTAGCACTTATGACGGTACTGTGGAAATTCAATAGTGTGTGTTTTAGATTTAAGCAATTTGAATGTATTTGACCTGCCATGTATGTTGGTACACCACATGTTGCCTAGTACCAGTTGAGGCCAGAGAGGGCATTGGATCACCAAGAACTGGAGTTACACATGGTTGTGAACCACTGTGTTGGTACTGGGAATCAAACCCTAGTCCTCTGGAAGAGCAGTGCTCTTAACCACCGAGCCATCTCTCAAATCCCTAGTTTGTTATTAACAGTAGCTGCAAGTAAGATGGTATCTCCTCTGTAAAAAGAACGAAGATGTTTTGCAGTATTTTTAATACGTGAAGTGTTACTTTATCTCATGAGTAGAATGTCTATTGTGGTTCTCAGTGAATGATGTGAACCAAAGAAAAGCTGAGTTTGTTCTTGTATAAGGTAGCAAGGCTTCACCTACTACAGTCACCGAGGTATGAGTCATTCACTCTCTCCACTTTCTTCCTTCCAGACATCGATGATGAGGAGGAGGACACCAATGAAGATGACTTTGGTAAGGAGAACAACCTTCAAAGTGATACTCTTGGTAGTAGTAGGTAATGGTATTCCTGGTCACATCCACCTCTCCACTGACTTCCATGTATCGATGATAGTGATGAGGATGACACTGAGGATGACTTGGGTAAGGAGAACAGCCTTCAAAGCAATGATGTTGGTGGTGGTAGGTCATTCCTGGTCAGATCCATCTCTCTACTGACTTTCATCCAGATTTCAATGGAATGGATGAGGACAACATTGATAATGACTTGGGTAGAAAGACCAACCTGCAAAATGCTGAACTTGTTAGTGGTAGGTAAAGGCATTTCTGGTCAGATCCAATGTACAATCTAGCAGTGATCAAGTTATTCCTTCTGCTTGGAAGGCAGGGGAAGAAAGTCCACTCAAGGGTCCTTCAGTGGACAGAAGTGTCAGCCAGGGTCTATTCCTGAATTGTTGTGTTTCAACTTCTTTTCTCATTGCTATGATGAAATAAGTGACACGAAACATTTTGATGGAGGAAGGGTTTATTGTGGCTTATTGTTAAAGTGGATCACTGCATCATGTTGGTGGAGACATGGAAGCTGGCAGGGAACGGAGGGCTGTAGGCACAGGGGACAATAGTTACATCTTGTAGAATATTATTTTAGGGTGTGTTACTTTTGTTTATTCTCTGGAACATTTGTTTAATGATGCAAAGCTGTTTTGCATTCTTTTATGTTGCATTTGTTTAACTCTGTGAGGTTGTGTTACTTTGTCTGTCTAAAACACCGGATGGTCTAATAAAGAGCTGAACAGCTAGGCAGGAGAGAGAGAAATGGGCGGGGCTGGCAGGCAGAGAGCATAAATAGAAGGAGAAAAAGAAGAAAGAGCAAGAGAACAAGGAGAGAAGGATGCGAGGGGCCAGCTACTCAGCTGTACACCTAGCAACAGAGTAAGAAAGAAAGAAAGACATACAGAAATAGAAAAGCATAAAAGCCCAGAGGCAAAAGATAGACTGTGGTTGATATATTGTGCACCCCAATAAACTTATATGGGGGTCAGAAAACAGAATAGCTACTATATTAAACATAGGTTTAGGCAGTGGTAGCACACGCCATTAATCCTAGCATTCTGGAGACACAATGGAAACAGCCAGGCATGGTGACACATGCCTTTAATCCTAGGAAGTGATGGGAGGAAGCAGAAAGGTATATAAGGTATGAGGACCAGAAACTAGAGCCTTTTTAAGCTTTTAGCTTTTAGCAACAGTTCAGCTGAGATTCATTCGGGTGAGGACTCAGAGGCTTCAAGTCTGAGGAAACAAGCTCAGCTGAGGAATTGGCAAAGTGAGGTTGGATGTGGCTTGTTCTGCTTCTCTGATCTTTTCAGCATTCACCCCAATATCTGGCTCCTGGGTTTGTTTTTATTAATAAGACCTTTTAAGATTCGTGCTACAATAGACCGGTTAATTTAAGAAAAGCTGGTCATAAACAAGCCAAGCTAAGGTTAGCCATTTATAATTAAGAATACACCCTTGTGTGTGATTTATTTGGGAACTGGGCGGTGGACCCCTCAAAAGAGCAAAAACAAACAACATTAACATTGCATTCACATCCACAATCAGAAGGCAGAGAGTTAACTGAGGTGGGAATGGGGTCTTCCCAGAACCTCACTTCATCCAAGGATGCTCCACCTCTAAAGGATCCAAACCCTTCCCAAACAGCACCACCAGCTCCATACTACATGTTTAAACACACAAAGCTATGGGGAACATTTTACATTCAAACCAGAACACATAGCCATCAGTTTATGTTCTTGTATGAATTATCCACATCATGTCATGAATGTGAATTGTGAAAAAGAAGACTCACTTCCTCATTTATTCCTTCTATTTCATCTTCGTCAAAAGCATCTAAGTACAGAGACATTGTTGTGTTTCTGTTTATCTTTATTTAGTTCCTTAGACTGAATCCCATTTTCTCCTGTGTCCTTGACCTGACAGTTTTCAGTATTATGTATTTTAGTTATTTTCCACATGCCACTTCTTACTGAAACAGAAGGAACATATATCATGTATGGTATAGGGAAATGCAGAGGGGAGGAATGTATATCACTTATGGTATAGAGAATGCAGATGGAAGGAACATATATCATTTATGGTATATGCAGGCGGAAGGGCATATATCACTTATGGTATAGAGGATGGAAGGAACATATATCACTTATGGTATAGAGGATGCAGACGGAAGAAACATATATCACTTATGGTATAGAGGATGCAGATGGAAGGAACATACATCACATATGGTATAGAGGATGCAGACGGAAGAAACATACATCACGTATGGTATAGAGGATGCAGAAGGAAGGAACATGTATCACATGGTATAGAGGATGGAGGTAGAAGGAACATGTATCACCTATGGGATAGAGGATGGAGATGGAAGGAACATGTATCACATATGGTATAGAGGATAAAGATGGAAGGAACATGTATCACATATGGTATGGCGGATGCAGAGGGGAGGAACATATATCACCTGTGGTATAGGGAATGCAGATGGAAGAACATATATCACATTAACAAACTCCTGAGATTTAGTTATTGTGCATGTCTAATGACCTAGAAACTGAATGTAAAGACTCCGTTTGGTAAACTTGTCAGACTTTATGTCCTTTACGCCCCTTTTGAGGACTGTGTTGGTAACTCAGGAGATGCAGTGCTTGCCTTGATAAACTGGCCTTTCCTATGAGTTGGCCAGTGACTAAACATAGTAGCCCTCATATTTGTGAGGCATTAATAATGTATGATGGTCAATTTTCTGTAGCCATAGTAGACCTTCAGTAGAATTTCAATCTACTCAGTGTTTCTGAGTTCTCATTCAAACAGGATATAATAGCCATAGTCAGGAATCTACAACATTCTGGAGAATAATGGTGGCCTATGTTAGAAGTAGATTCTGAGGATGCACTCGAGCCAAATTAGGAACTACTTTAAAACCTTTCTATAATTCTGTCCAACCCAAGTCCATGTGAAATTAAAAATGAACACTTTCATAAAAAGCATGGTTATGTTCCAGAAGAACAATTGCTTGAGAATGTGTTATCTGTGGGTTTATGTGTCTATGAACCAACTAAGTTGTGAGGTCTGTGGCAGCACATTCTGCCAATAAGTAACCTTCCTCAGCATTTACACCACATGCCTTGTGTTCATTGAGCCACGCAGGAACAGCACTACAATATGTCTTTAGTTATTCACATCCCCTGGGTGGAATCAAGGAGATACAATGATGAATGGACCCAAACCTGTGATGCTCTTAGGTGAGAGGGCTGAGAGGGGAATCCCACACAGAGTTCAAAATTCTGTGACTCTAAATCTCACTATCTGGGCTCAGAATTAGGATCTGAGATCATTAACCATCATACAAGAGGTTCTGTAGTCTGTGTAAATTTCTGGATTTCCAAATCCAATATGAATGCATCTGATAAGGTAGAGATTGAGATATCATAGGCCAGAGTAGTCATTGCTGCAGGAATCCTGATCTCATCACTGTGGTGATGTCCAAAGCACATAGAAAGAACCAATGGTGATACAGTGTCAAGGTTCACGATTTGGGTGAACCACACCCTGTGACTACCAGATCACCCCTCACCCTATCCTAGTGCATTTAAGAATGGGAAGATCCGCCGGGCGGTGGTGGCGCACGCCTTTAATCCCAGCACTCGGGAGGCAGAGCCAGGCGGATCTCTGTGAATTCGAGGCCAGCCTGGGCTACCAAGTGAGTTCCAGGAAAGGCGCAAAGCTACACGGAGAAACCCTGTCTCGAAAAAACCAAAAAAACAAAACAAAACAAAAAAAAAAGAATGGGAAGATCCTTTAGTGATAGGTCAAGGCAGTGTAAGTGTCATCTAGATGTTGTGAGGCTGTGTGAGCTACAAACCCTGGGACAGAAATAGATAACTACTCAGAGTAGCACTCAGTATTTACATAATGCCTCACTCTCGTGAAAATTCTCATTTGGAACTTTGTTTCCAAGCCATGGTGTTGAGCAGGGTCCAAATCAACATTCTTGTTCACCTTAATGTCAGTTTGCTGGTCTGAACCTGGACAGATCCTTTATGCAGTGAATACAAATGATTTCACTGTAGAGGAAAACCAGAAGGAGGAATAAATGATACGTAGCAGTTGGTTTTTAAGTGTAATAATGTAAGTATTACCCACTCTCCAATAAGCTATCACTGTATCATAAAGAGTGAATACTTCAGTATGATTACATCATATACTTGGTGGTATGTTCCTTTTTCTAAAACAATGTATGCTCTATCAACATTTAAATTGTCTGGTGAGATGGCTTCCTTGGTAAATGTACTTGCCTTTTATAACCTGTGACATGAGTTAGGTTCCTGGAACCTCCATAAAGGTGAAAGGAGAGAACCATCTACTCCAAGTTGTCTTCTGAACCCCACACGTGTGCCATGGCATGTACTCTAACACATACTTCATGTACCTACACGGGTATAATGATAATTGTATTAATAATATAAAAGCAATTAAAAAATAAAGGCATATTTGGTTAACAAATGCAATATATATATAATTTGATCTGTAGTGGAGGAAAGCAGTTTGACTGATGTTTAAAATAGTGTCAATTTTCCTGGTTTGAAAATGGCCTGAAGAAGTGATAGAAATCTCTATTAATTATAATACTTATTTCAGTATTTTCCTGATCTAAGGGAGATTGTTTCTATAATTACTTTGAGTTATGTAGAGTAGTCATATATTATTTTGCACTTCATAAGTATATGATGTTTTTACAATATTTTTTACTATGTTAAGTGTACGTTATGTACATTTTAATTATATTGAATGATATGAATCAAAGGAAAGCTGAGGTGGTCCTTTAGTGAAGCAGTGTGGCTTCCCCTGCTAGAGGCAATAATGTATGTATAAGTTATTTTCTGTACTTGCTTTATTCCATACACTACAGACTCAAAGAATGACGAGGTAAGCTTGAGAAATACAGAATACAGGAGTGGTAAATAATTCATCCCTGATCAGATTCAATGAGAAAGGACCCAGGAGTGGGGAGTTTGCACCTCCGTTAGGGGCGTCAAAGGGCTGGGAGAGTCAGGTCAGTGGGCTTCGAGGTGTGCGGAAGCAGTGCTCCGCCTGCATCATTGGAGCAGAGCGCTGCGTTTCCGTGCTCGTATAGAGTGACCGTTCCATATTACATACTGTGTTGTCTAAGTATCAACCCAGGATTCAATTTCTTTTTCATAATTTGTTCCTTGTCATCCTTCAACACAGGAAGATAGTGTGTTCCAGGAAGAAAGTAACGCCTGTGTTATCTGCCCAAGATTTTATAGTAGTTTGTTATTATCTAAATAGTCAAACCCAGTCAAGTTTGCTTTCCTGTCTCCTGGTCCTCTCTGTTCTTGCATTTATTAGAATTTTAGTTATTTATTACATGTTGTCTTTGGTGGAGAGTCTCATACATAGAGAATATATTTTGACATTGGAGAAAAACATTGAACATGCGTCACTGAATCAAAAACCTGTGAAGCCCTAAAAACCATTTTGTATGTCTGATGGCATAGACATGGGATGCAAAAGCATTAGTCTTTTTATAAATCAGGTATCACCAAACCTCTGGATGTCCTTTTTCACATCCAGAAGATTGGCAGCTAGTAACGTGCTTGTGAGGACTGGAGTTCAGCCCTAAATTTTCATGTAAATCTAGTGGGCAGCAGTTTATATTACCAGTCATCAGGAAGTGCAGAAGCTCCATGTGTTTGACCTCTGTGAATGAGACCAGATCTCAAGGGTTGTAACTTTAGGGAGAATGACCAAAACCCCTGACTCCTCATCATAGGGCAACAAAAGAATATGTAGACAAAATGCTGTGAGAAAAACTTGAGTACATTTTTTTATATTCTCTCTCTCTCTCTCTCTCTCTCTCTCTCTCTCTGTGTGTGTGTGTGTGTGTGTGTGTGTGTGTGTGTGTGTGTGTGTGCATCCCTATGAGTGCATGTCACATCTGTGCGGTGCCTGTGGAGGTCAGAACTGTGTATTGGATCCCATCCCTGGAGCTAAGATCACAAGTGGTCATGAAATGCCTGAAATGGGTGCTGAGACCTCAACTCAGGTCTAAACTGCTGAGCCATCTATTTAGCCTCATAACTGGTTTTCTAAATTGTTGTGTGTTGGTATTTAGAAAACTCCATTGATAGTCTCTGAACCAGAGGAAACCTGAAGTTGATCTTATGAGAGGCAGGATGGCTTCCCCTGGTACAGGCAGGAATGTGGGAGCCAGCATCTATTCTTTTTGATAAATATAGTAGTTATGGTACATTGGGATCTAAGGACCCTGAAGAGGGAAGAGGAGAATGGGGTAAAGTCAACCCATCCCCGTGGGATGCGGTGAGGGACCAGGAGCAGCCAGGTCACCTTGAGGCCGAGTGGGCAGAGAAGAGGCTGAGAGGTGTGTGGGTAGGCATGCTTTTCCTTTCAATGCACTAGGGTGAGCAGCGCTGGCTGTGGACGCTGCCGTGCGTGCTGGAGGCTCCGCCATTCAAATGGGTCTTTGCCAGAACATCACTTCCTCCTGTCTCCTTTGTTGTGCTCACTCTAGTCAACTGTGTCCGTCAAAGTTAGGCTTTGGGATGCTGAGCTGTGATAGAGGGATCTACTTGGTGGGGCACAACTCTCTCATGGACCCTTGGCACAAACCTGCAGACACGAGTCTTAGAGATTGGGCCCATCAGTGCCAGAGAAGAACATCTCTTTCTGGTCTGTGCATACATGTGCAACCACATGCAGGTTTCCTTCTGTCCTGTCAGTCACACTTTAAAGGGCCCATGTGAACAGAGTGACTCTGCCTCTGCTCTGCTCACCGTGGAGCTGGGAGGTGAGCACAGAACTTACTTTCACCTCATTTGTGGCCTGTGCTCCTCACACGTCGGGGGCTCTCAGGGGTACCAGGCAAGGGAGGTCAGAGCACTGCCTGTCCATCTGGGAGCCTCAGACCTAGTGAGTGATGAGGGATACGGGCTTGTGATCCGGTTTTGTGCTGCATTTCAGATAGTCTAGCATGAGTACTCCAGATGCAGAGGGTGGGCCTTGCAGTCCTCCCTATGACGATGGTAGACATTCCCAGGGCTAAAAGGCCTGGACACTTGGGCATCACCTCTCCTTGGAACTCGAGGGCCACAGACTCACACATGTGCAACCCTCACTTTCCTATTCCCATCTTGTACTATCACATTGTCATGTGTACCTGTGACCTCTGTTTGCCCCCTGAGGTCTGTGGCACTCCTGTGTGTTCCAGTCAATGAGTTCTGAGCTCTTTCTCTTCTTCTGTAGACATTAGTTTGTAAACTAAATATTTTTTCCTCCAGTTGTCTTCCCAGGAGCCTCTGCGGTAACGTCATAGCCTTTGCTCATCCCCAGATGTGATGACCTCATTCTCTCATTGTCCATGCATTGAGTCTGTCCTGTGTGTCCTGCCTAGAGCATCAAGAGCCCTCCTGCTGGGCTGCATCCTTCAGTCACACTTTCTCTGATTACCTCTTATCCAGAACCCCCTCGCTCCCCTCTTCCTCCCGTTGCCCCAGGTCATTTTGGCACTGAGTTCTGTACCTGGCATTCCATGGAGGCTTTGGGATCTTTTTTACCCTCTGCTTGCTTCTGACTTTGTGTCACTGGTCTCATTGCCCACATGACCTGACATAAACCTCCATTGTGTTTCCCCGGCCTCAGAACTAAGTGTTTTATTAATAGCTCTTCATTTATCTGCTATGTCTCTGTCCCAGTACCTTGTCCCTTTCTCATGAGTCCCTCACAAAGCTGCTCCCACAGACTTAAGCCCAGTGGTGAGAAGGAATAATTGAGCACTTCTTAGGAACATTCTTAGAAAGACAGTCATGTGAGACTTAGTACATCATCTGATTTGGTCCTTTTACTGGGGAGCAGATGTGAAGGTTGCTGGTGACAAGCAGGAGAATTGCCCCAAGAGGGAAGAGTTCAGTGCCCTAAGATGTGTTGTTCCCACCCTGAGACAAGACATAGAAAAAGAATCAAAACCAGCAGAAACTTTTCCCAAACACAGGGTAGAAGGGATGGGACCTAGGGTGGTCACCTGGATCTGTCTGGGGGATATCAAACATTGTAAAAAACTTGGTCAAAACCTCATCCATGTGTCCTGATGAAACTTATTCTGTTTCCAGATCCAGCTGAGCTGGAATCAGCCTCTGTTGGACCTCCACGGGCTGCATGGGAGGAATGAGCCATTAAAAGACATGCACGAAGGAAGGTCTGGAGGCCCTCTGCCCTAGGCTCTGAGGAGGAAGAGAAAACATGGTCCTGCCCAGCTCCACAACGAACTGATGGGGCAAAGACACAAACACACACAGACACACACACAGACACACACACACACACACACACACACACACACACACACACACACACACACACACACACACACGGACCAGGCAGAGTACCCCAGGCACTGAGGAGTCAGTATGGTCCAGTGCATCAGCAGACAGCCGGGCAAAAGTATACACACACATAGGCCCGGGGCAGAGTACCCTGGGCACTGAGGAGTCTATATGGTGCTGTTCAGCACATGGACAGACAGCCGGGCAACGATACACATGCATGCAGGCCCGGGGCAGAGTGCCCTAAGCACTGAGGAGTCTGTATGGTGCTGCCCAGCACATGGACAGACAGCTGGGCGAAGATATACATACACACAGGCCTGCAGCAGAGTACCCTGGGCACTGAGGAGTCAGTGTGGTCTTGGCCTGTGCTGAGAAATAAACCTGTATATTGTGGGAATATATGTGGCTAAGATTGGTTTAATAAACAAGCTGACTGACCAATAGCTGTACAGGAAAGTTAGGCAGCAAAGCCAAACTGAGAATGATGGGATGAAGATGGGTGGAGTCAGAGAGACCCACTGCTAGATGCAGAGAAAGCAGGACATATAAAAAATAAGGTAACAAGCCACTAGACAAAGCATAGATAAGAAATATTGGTTCATTTAAGAGTAAGCATTAGCTATTATCAAGCCTGAGCTATTGGCCAAGTATTTGTAATTCATATTAAGTTTCTGTGTTGAACATAATGGGAAAATGTACAGAGACAGCCAGCCAAACTAGTGGAGACTCATGAACTGTGGACCAATAGCTGAGGAGCCCCCATGGGACTGGACTAGACCCTGTGGATAGGCAAGACAGTTGTTCAGCTTGAACTGTTTGGGGGCTCCCAGGCAGTGAGATCAGAACCGTCCCTGGTGCATGAGCCAGGTTTTTGGAGCCCAGTGCCTATGGTGGGACACCTTGTACAGCCTTGGTGCAGGGGTTGAGGGCAAGGGGGAGGGCTTGGACCTGCCACAACTGAATGTACCAAGCTCTGCTGACTCCCCGTGGGAGACCTTGCCTTGGAGGAGGTGGGAATGGGGGTGGGTTGGGGAGGAGGGCAGCAGGGCAGAAGGAAGGAGGAGAGGGAGATCTGTGGTTGATATGTAAAATGAATAGAAAATTTCTTAATAAAAATAAAAAATTAAATTAAAAAAAGTTTCTGTGTTGATTATTTGGGAACATGGGGGTGGGGGGAATCTTCCGCCTACAAATGGTGCCCAATGTGGGGCCTGAATTTCCTTGAGAAACCTGAGAGAGCTTGGAAAAGGATTCTAGGCGTACATGAATGGAGCCAAACTCGACTTCTTGGTAACTGCTTTTTCTTGGGTAGGCTCTGCTTTCTATCAGTGAGCAGAGGCACAGCTCCTTTAAGAGATGGCTTCCTGACTCAGCATTAGCATCAAAAACTGTGCAGCTCTTGCTGGGGCGGTGGTGGTGCACACCTTTAATCCCAGCACTCAGGAAGCAGAGCCAGGCGGATCTCTGTGAGTTCGAGGCCAGCCTGGGCTACCAAGTGAGTTCCAGGAAAGGCGCAAAGCTACACAGAGAAACCCTGTCTCAAAAACCAACCAACCAACCAACCAACCAAACAAACAAACAAACAAACACTGTGCAGCTCTTCTGTGAGGCCCTGCTACCGACCACTTAAATGGGGTTTATGAGCAGTGGGCAGCTCACTACTTGGTGGCAGTGTGGACCCCAAAACTCCCCAGAGTTGGTGCAGTAAACATGGCTCCCACAGGTACCTCCACAGTGAGGCTAAGTTCTCAGGGAACCAAGTCGAGTAGGAGCCAGCACACCTTGATCAAAGTTCTACAACAGTTTGGATTTTGTTCATGTAGACAAAAAAAGGTTACAGATGCACAGTAAGGACAGATTCAGACAAAGAGAGCCTCTAAAAGGGTCACACTGTCTTTTAAAATTTGCTCAGGAGTGAGAAGAGAAAATATATATACAGTCTTAGAATAAAAAATATAGTTTTAAAATAAAGACCTAAAAAACGGAATATTATATATATATTATATATATATAATAAGCCACATAAAGATGAAAAATACACAGAGTGTGGATAATGTATGTTGTGTTGTCTTTGAACCTTTTGACTGCTGAGAAAGGAGTGATATCTACTTAGACACACTGGATTGTGAGGGCTGCTGGATTTCACCATGCAAAACTTTAATTTTTTTTATTTTACATACCAGCCACAGTTGCCCCTCCCATCACTCCTCCTGCTCTCCCTGCCACCTCCCCACCCCCACTCCACCCCCATCCACTCCTCCAAAAGGGTAAGTCTACATGGGGAGTCTACAAAGCCTGGTACATTCAGCTGAGGCAGGACCAAGCCCCTCCCCGTTTCGTCAAGGATGAGCAAGGCAACCCAGCATAGGGAATAAGCTCCAAAAAGCCAGCTCATGCACCAGGGATAGATCCTGATCCCACTGCCAGGGGCCCCTCAAACACACCAAGCTACACAACTGTCTCCCATATGCAGCAGGCCCAGTTAGGTCCTATGCAGGCTCCACAGCTCTCCATCTAGAGTTCGTGAGTTCCCACGAGCCTGATTCAGTTGTCTCTGCACACCTCCCCATCATGATCTTGACCCTCCTTGCTCATACAATCCTTCCTCCATTTCTGGCTGGATTCCTGGAGCTCAGCCTGGTGTTGGCTATGAATCTCTGTGTCTGCTTTCATCAGTTATTGGATGAAGGCTCAATGATGACAGCTGGGGTATTCACCATTATGATTACAGGAAGGCCAGTCCAGGCACCCTCTCCACTATGGCTAGTAGTCTTAGCTGGGATCATCCTTGTGCATTCCTGGAAATTTCTCTAGCACCAGATTTCTCCCTAGCCCCTAATGGCTCCCTTTATCAAGATATCTCTTTCATTGCTTTCCCCCTCCATTCTTCCCCAAGATTAACCATTCATTCCCTCATGTTCTCATCCCCCATCATGGGTGTACCACCCCCCACCCCAGTTTAACCTATTTACCCTTCCCAGGATGATCCATGTGTCCCTCTTAGGGTCCTCCTTGTTACCTAGTTTCTCTAGAGCTGTGGGTTGTAATCTGGTTATCCTTTGCTTTACATCTAGTTTTTACTTATGAGTAAGTACATATCTTGTTTGTCTTTCTTATTCTGGGTTACCTCACTCAGGATGATATTTTCTAGTTCCATTCATTTACCTTCAAGTTTCATGATGCCACTGTTTTGTTCTTTTTTTTTTTTTTTGATGCCATTGTTTTTTACAGCTGAGTAAAACCCTATTATGAATATGTACCACATTTTTAAAATTTATTCTTCGGTGGAGAGGCATCTAGGTTGTTTCCAGGTTCTGGCTATTATGAATAATGCTGCTATGAACATAGTTGAGCAAGTGTCTTTGTGGTATGATTGAGCATCCCTTGGGTATATGCCCAAGAGTAGTATTGCTGGGTCCCGAGGCAGATTGATTTCCAATTTTCTGAAAAGTCACCATACTGATTTCCAAAATGGCTGTACAAATTTGCACTCATGCTGTGGTATGTCTTTCTATATGCTATGAATATGTGTTGCTCCCATTGGCTAATAAATAAAGCTGTTTGGGCCTATGGCAAGAAAACTTACAGCCAGGCAGGAAATCAAAGAAAGAGAGAGAAGAAAGGCGAAGTGAGGAAAGATGATCCAGCCACACAAGAAGGAAGACATGAAAGTACAGTAAGCCTTGAAGCCACATGACAAGACATAGGTTAATAGGAATGGGTTGAATTAAGTTGAAAGAGCTAGCTAATATAAATTGGAGCCATAGTCTATACAGTTTGTAAATAATATAAGCCTCTGTGTAATTACTTTTTAAGTGGTCCCGGGACTGCGGATGGGAGAGATTTGTCCAAACCTGCGAATGGGAGAGATTTGTCCAAACCACGAGGCCAGGTGGGACCATGGCCACCTACAAATGGCATCCAACACAGGACAAGAGTTTCCACCTAAAACCTGAGAGAACTTAAAAAGAGATCCTAAATGGAGCTAAGAACAGCTTCCTAGTTTGTGTATGCCATTACTGGCAATGATACAGAGACATGTCCTTGGTCACGGCAGGCTTCAGCGGCTACACGGTGGGGTCCGGTGGGCTCTCATGGGCCACAATACAAAGAGGCTTCTCTCAGCTTCTGCCTGCAGGCTTGGGAGCACAGCCTCGGGCTTAAAAACACAGGCATATTGCTTAATACTGCTTCCTAGAATTGGGGGTTTAAACGTGACACCTTGGTACCCGAGGTACCCGTGCCATGTTGAAAAGCCGAGCAGGGTGGAACCAGCTGCCAGGGCTGCTGCTGCTTTCATCCTAGCCATGCAGCTTAGCAGGTTAAAATCTCTCCTGGTCAGAAAAGGATCACAGATACACAGGAAGACATTCAGATGGAATAAACCTCTAAACGGTTCACAACGTATGTAAAAATGTGCGTAGGCTTAGAAGACAGAGGAAAATGAATGTAGGCAGTTATATAAAGAAATGAAATAGTTTTTAAAAATAAAGTCTTTAAAGAGACAATAAAAATAATATAAAAAATAGCCACGTAAAGATGGAAATTACACAGTCTGGATTATGTATATTATGTTTTCTTTAAATTTTTGACTCAATGAGCTAACTGCCGAAAGACATTTGATTATAAAGGCTGTTAAGTTAAACCAATATATATATTTTAAAGGTTATCTTGACTTCAAAATTTGGATCTAAGAATATGTTTCTTTGGAAAGGAGGCTCTGCTTTTGTGTCCACAGGAAGCAAGAGGATGCTTTTTCAGCATCAAATGAGATGATCGTGTGTTTGTTTGTTTTTTAATGCCCAACCTTAGCTTGACTTGTTTCTAGCAAGCTTTTTTTCTTTTTATTTATTTATTTATTTATTTTTATTAAGAGATTTTTCTATTCGTTTTACATATCAACCACGGATTCCCCTGTCCTCCCTCCTCCCACTCTCCAGCCTTCTCTCTCAACCCACCCCCAATTCTCACCTCCTACAAAGCAAGGTCTCCCCTGGGGAGTCAGCAGAGCCTGGTACATTCAGGTGAGGCAAGTCCAAGCCCCTCCTCCCTGCATCAAGGCAAAGTGCCCTAGGTTCCAAAGGGCCAGCTCATGCACTAAGGACAGGTCCTGGTCTCACTGCCTGGGGGCCCTCTAAACAGTTCAAGCTAAACAACTGTCTCACTTATCCAGAGGGCCTCGTCCAGTCCCATGGGGGCTCCTCAGCTATTGGTTCACAGTTCATGTGTTTTCACTAGTTTGGCTAGTTGTCTTTTTCCAATCATGGTCTCGATATCTCTTGCTCATATAACCCGCTTCTCTCTCTCTCTCTCTCTCTCTCTCTCTCTCTCTCTCTCTCTCTCTCTCTCTCTCTCTCTCTCTCTCTCTCTCGTTAATTAGACTCCTGGAGCTCTGCCTGGGGCTTGGCCATGGATCTCTGCATCTGCTTCCATCAATCACTGGATGAGGGTTCTATCATGACAGTTAGGATGTTCGGCCATCCAATAACCAGAGTAGGTCAGCTCAGGCACCCTCTTGACCATTGCCAGTAGTCTATAGTGGGATCATCTTTGTGGATTTCTGGGGACCTCTCTAGCACTCTGCTTCTTCCTATTCCCATGGTATCTTCATTTATCATGGTATCTCTTTCCTTGTTCTCCCACTCTGTTCCTGATCCAGGTAGGACCTCCCGCTCCTCTAAGCTCTCTTTCCCCCAACCCTTGCCCTCCATTCCCCCCCCCCCCCTGTTTCAGTTTGTTTATATGGTTGATTACATTGACAGATTTTCATATGTTGAACCATCCCTTCATTTCTGGGATGAAGCCTACTTGATCATGGTGGATGATTTTTTTGATGTGTTCTTGGTTTGCCAGTATTTTATTGAGTATTACCACATCAATGTTCATGAGGGAGATTGGTCTGTAATTCTCTTTCTTTGTTGCATCTTTGTGTGGCTTGAGTATCAGGGTAACTGTGGCCTCATAAAAGGAGTTTGGTAGTG